TTTAGCTAAAGTTTATTGAGAGCCCATCATGTGCCAAGATCAGTCCAGGGGATATAAATATGAATAAGAGGCAGCCATTTGATCTTGAGAGGCTTACAGTATGGAAAAAGGCTCTTGACTAGATAACTTCAAAATGTTTCACTTTCTCCACTCTTTCTGGTTGAGGACATGCTAAATTCTACACATTTTAATTCAACAAATCTTTATTTACTGGTAAATAATGCACAAATAATTTACAGGTGACTCAAAGTTGAGCAAGAGATGATCCTTGCCCTCAAGCATCTTATGGTCTATGAGGTAACCAACGATAAGTACAAATTGGCTTTTTTTGTCAAGAGGGCGGAATAGGAGAGCTTTATGTGACACAGAAGGGTTAAGGGAGTAAGAGCCTACATCCACTGGGGAGGGCCAGAGAAGGAAGTGAAGAGTCAGGAAAAAAAAGCTTTTCAGCAGAAGTGCCATTTGAAGTGGGTCCTGAGGTCCTGATAGTAGGTACCTAATATAAGTGGAATCATGTAGTATTTGTCCTTTTGTGTCTGGCTTATCTCAGCATAATGGAAAGACAATTTTTATGTAGTCAATTTTGTTGCTTATGTGTTTTTTAAAAAACCCTGTAACAAAATAAAAAAGCCATTAAAATCTAGAAAAACATGTCTACAACATAGATGACAAACAAAGGTCAAATTCATAGAGACAGAAAGAACGGTAGCTACCAGGGGGTTAGGAGCGGGATGGGCTGGATAGAGAGTTAGTGTTTAATGGGTACAGAGTTTCAGTTTGGAAAGATGAAGAAGTTCTAGAGATGGAGAATGGTGATGATTGCACAACAATGTAATGCCACTAAAGTGTACACTTAAAAATGGTTAAAACAGTAAATTTTATGCTGTGTATATTTTAACAACAATAAAAAAATTAAGTTGGATTAATTTAGGATTCTGAGGTTTGTACCTGCTTAGAAAAGACTTTCCATACCTCAAGATTATAGAGAAGACTCTTTATTCTTCTAGAAGTATTGTTCATTAATATGTAGTTGGTAGGAGGTGCAACTTTTGGATAGGTATTTGAGGTGAGGAAAACAGGCTTCTGCAACTGTCATGGAAGAGGTGACAAGGACCTGAAGTAAGGTGATGAATCAGAAGGACCAGGTTCTTTCTACTGGGAAGGTAGGATGATAGGACTTGGCTTTCAACTGGATATATGCTTGATGTATGTGTGGTACTTGAATGGTTGTTGAATAAGGAAGGGGAAGAAATAGTCAAGGCAGAGAACCTCTGAAGTTTCTAACCCAGGCAGCAAGCACAATAGTAATAATAACATGAATTAATATAATATTCACTGAAGGAGGAAGATCAGGTTTGCGGAAAAGGATTTGTTCCATTTTGGATGTGCAAATATTTTTAGGTGCAGGTCAGCCATGTGAGTGAGTTCTGATGTGGAAAAGAGTTAAGGGGGACAAATTTGGTTTAGAACTCAGCCAATCAAGATGATTGCTGAAGCTACGGGGTTGTATGGGAGAGAAAGTCAAGAGAGAATGGATAGAACTTGGAACATTTTCAGCCTTTAAGCGGGATGAACAGGAAGGATAGCCAGAGAAACAAATAATTTGTAGAGGAGATGGCACTCGAAATGGGCTTGGAGAAAGAGTTTTGACAATGGTAGACTGGAGGGTGGGTAGTATAGGTGGTGAAGAAAGGGTTCCAAGCAGAAACAACAACATGAAGAAATAGGGAGCAGGAAAGCACTCCACCAAAGAAGCCATTCAGTAATCAGATGTTAAATGAATTTGTTACAGAATTGGAAGTTTCAAAGATGGGTCAGTCAACATTATCACTGTGGAAGAGAGGATGATGACCAAGAAAAGGCCATTTCCTTCAAGGTTACTGTGACTATTGGTAGTTGGTTGCTTGGGTATGAAAAGAGTCTAAGAGCCTTTAATCTACTTTGCTTAAACTTCAGCCAAAAATATCTGGTAAACTTGGAGTATCTCTTTTTTCTAAACTCTATTCTAGATTTAGATTCAGTGTTTCAATTTTCTTTGTTGTGACACATCTTTGTGCCATATCCACCCCAGGTGGTTTTCAGGTCTATTTTCATAAGTACTTTTTTTTTGTTGTGTTTGAAGTTTTTTTCTTTTTTTAAATGAGAACTTGGGTGAGATCATGTTTCTGGGGAAAGGAGATAATGGTGGCAATGCCACTGTCCTCAGTTCAAGTATCATAGTACAAACACACACTCCAAGAGGGTGGCAAGAAAACAATTTAAGCCAAGATTGAGTTCAACTTTCCCCAAAGACTCTACACCTGGTTTCAAAGATTCAGTTTTGGGGCTGGCCCGGTGGCGCAAGCGGTTAAGTGCGTGTGCTCCGCTGCAGCAGCCTGGGGTTCGCCGGTTCGGATCCCGGGCGTGCACTGATGCACTGCTTGTCGAGCCATGCTGTGGCGGTGTCCCATATAAAGTAGAAGACAGGCATGGATGTTAGCTCAGGGCCAATCTTCCTCAGCAAAAAGAGGAGGATTGGCATCAGATGTTAGCTCAGGGCTGATCTTCCTCACAAAAAAAAAAAAAAAAAAAGATTCACAGTTTGGTTGATATCAAAAAGATATATAGAGTTAAAAAAATGACAAACTGCTTTCAAAAAAATTTCAGAGAGCCATTTTTCATCCATCAGACTGGCAAAGACCTAAAGTTTGGTAACTTGTTGGGGCCAGGGTGTGGGGCAGCAGGCACTGTCCTACACTGCTGGTGGGAGAGTTAATTGCTATGACCTCTTTGGAAGGCAACTGGCAATATTTACCAAATGCACGTATCCTCTGACCCAGGGTATTCTGGACAAGACAATTCATTGCAGCATAATTTGTAGTGGCAAAAGAAGGCAACCACCTAAAATGTCCATCAATAGAGACTGTTAAATAATTATGGCATATCTTCATGGTGGAATATTTTAGTCATTACTGCTTGTTTATGCATAAAATAGCTTGGAACTATACACTAGAGACCTGGAACACTGGTGGCCTCTGGGGTGGGACTGCGCTGAGGGGACAGGGCTGGGAGGGACTTTTCATCTACCTTCTGTACCTGATGAATGTATAACCTATCTCCACCCCCGACCAAAGTAAAGCAATAAGTTTCCTGGTGGTAGAGAGAACATTAATAGTTTTTAACACATAGGAAACTTGAGATAAATCTTAACCAAGGAGACATTAGCTATGATGGGAATGATTTAGAGAAGTTTGAAGAGTTGAAGGCCATCTGATCTTGCCCATCCACCTTTTCTCTCCACACAGAAAACAAGGCAAAAAGGAAGGGAAGGGTGAGAGCCAGACAGCACAAAGAAGTCACGAAGCCAAGAAACTTGTAGGACAGACACTTTATTGTGGATTGCTTGTGGTAAAATATTCAACCCTTCAACACGTGCATTAGTTTGTTTTTTGCTGGAGACCACAGCATGATGCTCAAAGGCCTTGAGTCTCATCTTATGTCAGTCTAATCAATGGTTGTCTATTTTATAGTTCAACTAGGTAGAGCAAAAAGTCAGGAAATTCTCGTCTTAACTCCCCAAATTAAGGGCTGCAAGATGTGCAACCCACTCATATAAAGTGCTTATGTTCAGTGCAAAAAGGGCAGACTCAGAAGGGCAAGCAGATGCTGGGGAATGAGGTTTCCTGGGAGACAGATGCATTCTATGACACAAAGAGGAAAAAGCCACTTGTCAAAATTCCCCCCAAAAGGATCTAGTATTCTCTTTGCAGTCTTTCCTCTCTCTAACAGGACCAAAACTTTGCATCTGACAGATGCCCATAAGAGTTATTTTATTATCAAAAAACCTGCTTCAGGGTTTCTCAGCACCAGGGATACTTCAGCTTCCAGTTCCTGTTTGTCTCAGCAGCAAACGTGAGATCCACAGGCTGAGCTCCGGCCGGGGAGGCTCAGAGCTGCAGAGCTTCTCTAGGCCTCTTATTTGCAAATCCAAGTCACCGGCTATGACGGATGCCTTCTAAAACGTCGTCACATCTCGGTGGGAAAACAAGCCAGTGCTTATTAAAGGAGCACTTCACCTCGTTTTCTACCAACTGCACAGGACCTATTCATTGCCCCCTTGTCCTAACTCTTGTCCACAGGCCAACCTCCAAAGCCAACCCTTGACCCTCTGTTATGACAAAGCAGCGCACTGCCTTCTCAATGACCCTGGGTCTCTGCAGATCCATCCTGCTGCCCTGAAGACTGAAGCAGGAGAGATGTGGAAGTGGTTCCTAACCAATTTAAGTGGCGCAAATAGGACTGTAACTCAAACAGGCAAAGTCTAGCCTTTCAGTCCTAGGATCCTGGCTACTATTTCTCTCCCCAGACTCTCAAAGAGGGGGCCATACTCTCATTGTGCAGCAGGGATAGTCAAAAAGGCCGGCTCTGTGCTTGCAGGCAGCGGCCTGCATTCCTGTTCGGAGAAGTTTGCCTTGCTCTCCCTGCTGGATGAATGTGATGGTGCCCCTCTTGCCCATGGGTGGGGCTCCAGACCTGATTACTTGTATGTGCACCCACAGCTTTCAGATGCTGGCACCTGAGGACCCTTCTGTTCAGACGACCTTCTGAAGACTCACGGTAACTCCTTGTGCTTGTGAGAGGAGATACTTGGAACAGTTTTAATCCATAGGTAGCACTTGCCCCAAGGCCATCTCTGAATTTGGGGAAGGGAAGGAAGGGAAAAGAGGCAATGCTTTTGGTGCTGCTGTACAATTCCCCATAAAACCCTTCTAGCTGCGAGGAGCTACTGGAGTGTCTCCACACGGAGGGGCTGTGTACAAACAGGAGGACCCGGGTTAAGAACCAAAACGCAGGGCAGGTTTTCAGAACGGCAGAAGTCTAAAGTAAAGTGCCTCTTTACGGTGGGGAGAGTTTCGTTTGTTCGGAAATGCTTGGGTGTAAACATGAGTGCACAGGAGCGTGCACACACACTCACTCGCTCTGAGGTAGAAAGAACTGGCCATCTCCAGACAAACACACACAGGTTCCACAATTTTACAGAAACATGGCACTTGCGTGAGAGGTCCTGTCCTTGCCCAAGATGGCAAGTGGGGTCCAATCCAGCTCTTTCCGGCCTGGGGCAGCCAGGGAAGTCCCACTGCACAGCAGGAAAGAGGTGGAGGGCCTCTCCATCACTCCTGTCCCACAGGCCCCGTGGCCCACAGTCACTTCCTGGAGCCTGAGCCATGGGCACCCCGGCTGCGGCTCGTCAGAAGCCACTGGGCACAGATGTCTTGCACGACTGCATCCCCGCTGCTCTTGGCGGCCTGCTGCACCTGCTGGACGAGGACCGTAGCCCGTGAGTGTTCTTGCTTCACGGCAATCAAGTAGGCAGAACGCAGTTTGCAGCATGTCAGGTAGGCCTGAACCTGGCAATGGGGTAAAGGAGACAGCGGAAAGGAAACCATCACTGATGAGTCACCAACAAACACACAGAGCTGCGTCAGAGAGCTCGGGCAGATGAGGTCTCACTTCTCACCTGCAAAATTAATAATTAGGTTCTTGCCTTTTATTAATTATAGCAACTCTTTAAATATTCTGGCCCTAAGCTATTACATTGCTATTTTATAGAGTAAAAAGTTATTACAGGGGCCAGCCTGGTGGCATAGCAGTTAAGTTCACATGCTCTGCTTTGGCGGCCCAGGGTTTGCAGGTTCGGATCCCGGGCACGGACTGAAGCACTGCTTGTCAAGCCATGCTGCGGCGGCGTCCCACATAAAAATAGAGGAAGATGGGGGGCCGGCACCGTGGTGTAGCGGTTAAGTGCACGTGCTCTGCTGCTGGCGGCCCGGGTTCAGATCCCGGGCGCGCACCGAGGCACCGCTTGTCAGGCCATGCTGTGGCAGCATCCCATATAAAGTGGAGGAAGATGGGCACAGATGTTAGCCCAGGGCCAGTCTTCCACAGCAAAAAGAGGAGGATTGGCATGGATGTTAGCGCAGGGCTGATCTTCCTCACAAAAAATAAATAAATAAAAGATAAAAAAAAATAGAGGAAGCTGGGCATGGATGTTAGCCTGGGGCCAACCTTCCTCAGCAAAAAGAGGAGGAATGGTATCGGATGTTACCTCAGGGCTAATCTTCCTCACACACAAAAAAAGTCATTACAATTAAGCTAAGAACTTCAAAAAGAAGAAAGCAGGCTGGCCACTGGCCACTGGCCACTGGCCACTCGCCACTCCCTCCGAGGCCCTCCTCCTCACTATCCCAGCTCTCCAGCTTCCTCCCAGCTTCTGAGTCAGCACTGTCACTGGCCACAAGTTGTGCTTTCATAGTTATTTGGGTGATTACTTGACTGATGTCTGTCTCCCCGACTAGACTTTAAGCTCCATGAGGGCAGGAACAGTGTCTGCTTTTTCTACCCCTTGCATTCCTGGTGCCTAGCACAGGGCCTACCATGTAGTAGGTTCTCAACAAATATGCATTCAGTGGGTGAATGAATGCATATTCAATGCCTACAATGGGCTCACAGATCCCCCTTCTCTATTTTTATGTTTTCAATTCTGCTGAATTTAAAATCTTTTAACAGGAAACTTGGGGAAGAAAATGCATACACACAACTAGAAAAGGTCTAACTCCAGGGTGACTTGTTTGGATCAGAGGTGGCTCAGTTTCGGGCGTGGAGGGGTGTCTCTCCTACCCTCTGGACACCCTCTGTCTCATGAATCCTCAGTGTGGTGGAGATGAGAGCCCCTTCCTTTCCTGGCCCCGACCTCACCAGCCCCCTGGCTAGCCAGTGTTCTGGGCCAGCGAACAGCAAGGCCCTCACGAGCTGCCGCGGAGCTTCCACTAGCAGCTGCCTTTCTGCTGTGACAGTCCTCTTGGTGGTTGGAGGTGACTCTTCTCCCTTCCTGTTTCAGGGCTCCATCATCTTTTTTGTTTTGGTCACTACAGTCTTCCATTCCTAAGCTCAATTACAGATAATCTCCTACAGCTAGAAGATGTCGGGCGTGTTCTGAGCTCACTAAAAGTGATCGAGTCCTGACGTTAGCTCTCACCCAGGCCTTCTGCTCCACTTAGCACCTGCTGACATTAAATATATATCACAAGTTGGCAGGCAAAATTCCTCCCTAGAGAAGGAGGGCATTTTGGCAGAAAGTCTGGATTAAGAACTGAAGGAAGCTGGGTTTTGGCAAGGGTCTCATGGCCTGAGATCACTCAAGTGCATTAGAATAGCTGCTGAGAGAAAAAACTTGAAAAAGTAGTAATGACTGTCTAGATTTTAGTGCAAGTCTTTCCTATGGACAAACCCTCTGTCCTGTTGAGCAGGAGGCTCACTGAAGGCTTGGAAAAGGACTGTAGTCTGGGAATCAGGGAACCTGGGTATCTGGTCTGGCTGTCAGGTTCTCACTCTGGTTCTAGAAAAGTAATTCTCCACATTTCAGAATTCAGTATTCCATCCTTTCCATAGGATCTCATTAGGATGTTGCAGAAATAAATGAAGAAATATTTAGAACATGTTCTCCCTAATTCCTTAACTGAAGAATGGCCTGCAAATTCAGTCCAAGGATTAGCAATCCTGCCATGGGGAGCAGCTCTGTGGTGTGTAAGAAACTGTTTGCCTCACATTCGTTTTCTTCATGAGGGACTCAGCTGCCAGATCATTCCACTTCCGGTGGCCAGGGCAGTCTGGCTTGGTTTTCCCATGCCTCTCCCGGCCCAGGAGCTTTCCTCCAGATGGCAGGTGGACTGAGCCTGTGGTTAGCCACAAACGAGAGCAGCTGGCAGCAGCTTTCATTCTGGCTGGCACCCCCGGCAAAGACAACGTGAAACAAAGGTTCACTGACTTCCTCCCACACGTGGAAGAGCTCATGGGCCTCAGGGGAGAGGCTTGTTCTGGAGAATGAGACACAATGGGCATTTGTGGGTCAAAGGGTTGGTTGATTCAGTCAACCCGAATCCCCACTGAGGGATTCCCAAGGGCTCTCTGAGAGAAGACCTCCACAGGAAATGAGATTCAAGAGCAGCCTAGGACATGTTTGTCTTGGGGACAAAGAAATGGGAAGGCAAAGGCTCATGTAGTCAATGTTCACATGTACCCTGTCTATTTTCTCCCTTCTACACTCCCATCTGGTCCCATCTCCACCTCTGGATAAGAAAGAGCTGAGATACAGGTTGTATGGAACTGCCAGGGAAGCCAGGGATAAAGATGACAAGGCAAGCCCAAGGTGCTCTTCATGGGTATCACTGGAGTTTGGAGACAACTCTGCTCACCTTGTTGTCATCATTGTGTATCGCTTGGATCAGGCCCTCCAGCTCCTGTGCAGAACAGAAACACAGCAGTCATGAGAGGGAGAAGAGCTCCCAGCGCAGCAGCCAGGGCCCAATACAGTCTCAGCCCAGCTGTTCTGACTCCAGAGGGGGATGCCTGCCCGACTCTTCTTTATAAACTTAACTCCTGCTATAAGAGCAACAAAGGAAATCTAGTGATAACACTAAACTTGGGAATTTGAGGAGGAAGAACAGCTCCCAAGAGGCCTGTCCTTGGCCTTCATGAACGGATGTGACTCTCTTCACCCCACTAAGAAGCCACAGGGGGACACTTTTAGAGGCAACATGCTTCAAAGGCCATCTGCAGGACCACCCTGCCCTCCTCTACAATCACAGGGAGAAACAACTCCGTCGGCCCACAGACACTTCCAGGTGCAAACAACATTAGACAACGGGATGTTGAGGGGCACCTTCCAGTATAGAGGTTATCACCATGAACTTTCTTTCCAGGGAAGGGTTGATTAGAGTGAGGCCATTGTTATGGAGGTATCAGAAAGATAAAGGAATATTGCAGTTTCAGGTACATTATGGGGAACACAAAAATAAAGAGGGGGATGTGAAGACACTGAAATGGATGGAGGAGCTGAGAGGTATGGGAGTCAGCACACCTGGGGTGGAATTCTCTTGAATGCTTCCAAGCAGTTGAGGAGGATGGTGTCCCCGTCACTTTTGGCTGCCATGCCTGACTCACTGACACACTTGAGCAGTTGTCGGATCTCACCGTATTTCTCCCTCTCCACCAACTGCCGAGCAGCTCTGCAGTAGGTCATGGCAGCATCCAGCTGGAAGTCCTAGAACAGAACATGGGGAGATGGGCTTAGGGTGGCAGGGGACATCTGCCCCAGGAAGGAAGACAACATTTAAAAAGCTCCCACTACACTTGGTGTAGATAAGCCATATTGATTGCAGTCACAACAGAAAACATACATATAACAAACAAACCATAAGCAAAAAGTTCCTCTTTGGAGTTAGGCAGCCATTTAGGAAGCATCCATAAAAATCATAACCTCAATATCTAAAATGGTAGATCTGCTGGCTGCCATGTCATTTTCTGAAAATATTCTAATAAAATTCCCAGGACTAGTTTATTCTCTCTCTAATGAGTCACCTTTCTCTTGGGAAAGGGATATTGGGAGCTGGTATTGGCTGCCCGGGACGCTTGGTGCTCCGTTAAGAGATGCCTTAGTTTTTGGAAACAGACCATCCACCAAAAGACTGATGTGCTGGAATCTACCGGATAAACACTTAAAGCCTGGTCTGGGACCATCTTTGCTATAGGATCTGGGAGGAGCTGCTGCTCTCCCTGCCTACCAGGTATATCTGTGTACGGAGAGCTTTGCCCAAGTGAAAATGGGTGGGAAGAAAGAAATCTGACCGATCATTCACGAAGCCATTGATCCTTGAGACATGTATGCGTTCCAGACCCTGCCTGCCCAGAGAGTGACAGTCCTTAAGGGGTCTGTGTGTAACTGTGTGGTGGGGGTTGGTCTTGAGAGACTCTGCCACTTGTGGTTTCAGTGCCCTGCTCCAGCCTCTGCTACAGCACCACAGACACATCTATGTCCTCTTATCACAAGCAACAGAAAATGTACTCCTTGAGCCAGCTACTAGACAGACGGAGAATGGAGAGGCAGCCCTTGCTGCCAGCGGCCCAGCCTGCTGCACAGAAAACACTCCCTCCTCACCCCCAGCCACCTCCTCCAGCCCTGCGAGGGCAAGCAGAGGCTCTGCAGGGACACAGCTGCGGGGAACTGTCCTAGACCTGGTTTCAGGTATTGACTGATAGCTGTTGATGAATTTGTCATTGGTTACTTGGCTTTTGGCAGAGTGGCCTAGAGTCTTGAATATGACCCAGTTCTGTAATAGCCACCTCCCTGATTTCATCCTTTATGCACATAAATCTGATTTTCTTGGGATAAAGGGTTTCTTAAGAATAATCTCCCCTGGAACTGTGACCAGGTGCTGATCACCTTCAGCATAATCTTGAGTCATCCCAGTCATACCTGCAGAACACGGAATGCAATTCCAAAACCATCTTCTACATTTTTCCCTCCTAGCATCACCTGAAAAGGAGAGGGAAATAGGCTTAGAGAAGCAACAATTACTGGAGTAGGTCCTCAATCAAGAATGAGGGCCCCCATTTATTCAACAAATATTTGTTCAGACTCCATGAAGTGCCAGGCACCAGGGATACAAAAGTAATCAAATGGACTTGATCTCCAGCCCTCGTGGCTCACATTCTAGTGGGGACGCAGCCATCAAACAAAGAACTGAAATAATGACTAAACGACTACAATTGTGATGAGGGTCCTGAAAGAGAGGAACAGTCCAGTCCGCTAGAGGTCTGAAACATTGTATGTACCTTGCAGGCAACATCCATTTTCATATGGTTATTTCCAAACAGGGTTGGCAGAGGCAAGGTGGAGATCTGAGAAGTCCCAGCGCTTTCACACCGATGTAAGAACCTGGTCACTTCCATCTGCAGCTGAAGTGTGTTCATGTGCCTACGGTGACAGGAGATGCACCATCTAACCTCCTGAGGGGCTTCAGGAGGGACTAGGGCCGAGCGACTGAGAAATCACAATAAGATGGCAACGGAAAAGGCAAAAGACATGATGCGGAGGGAAAAGTGATCCAAAATACCCTCTGAGCAGTTATGATAAGGCAAAAACGGGTAGTCTAGCGGTGCCCGGTACAAACTCATAATAGTTAAGATGCTCCATGGAGCTGGATAAGGTCCTGTCCTTGAATCAGTAAGTATTTACAGAGCATCTATGTCCTGCTAACAACAACAGAGGTCACGAGAGACGTGAACCCTGCCCTCACACAGTTCATAAGCTACAGTAGAGATGAACCAGGAACAAACTCATAAAAAATATCTAGCGATCGGGCCTATGAAGACAGCAAATGGTAGTGGTGGAGCATTTACTTTAGATGTTATGTTCTAAGCAGAGGGATTGGCAAGCCTAAAGGCTGAGAGGAGGGAAGAACTTGGTGTGTTGAGGAACCCTCAGGAGGCCAGTGTGACTGGTGCTCAGCAAGGAAGAAGAGAGTAGCATGAGATAAAGATGGAGATGTGGGCAGAGGCCAGATAACACAGGACCTCCTCTGCCTGTTATAAGGGGTTCGGAGTTTAGTTTGACTGTAACATGTTATCCCAATCCTCCCCCCTCTCCTCTTCTCCCACAAATTCCTTGAGACACTGCCATCCAGGAATGATTCAGGGATGCGGGAGAGCAGCTTTATCACCAACAGACAGACACTCAGTTCCAGCCCTTCTGCCCCACCCTAAGTGTTCCCTGAACCCCGAGCTACCTTGACACATCAGCTGTGGTCATCTTCTTTCGGAAGAAGGTGGTTTTCTTCCTTCTAGTGCCGTGGGAGGCTTCTTGGAGGTAGATCTTCAGGTGGTCCTTGGCCTTAAGCAGCCACGAGAGCTTCTCTCCTAGTTCCGTATATGTCTTTGCTTTGTGAGTGAAGAACCAAATACAGGTCATGGCAGCCCGGACTTGGTCCTAGAAGAGGAAAATGAATGTTCAGGTCAAAGGAGACCAGGGAAGCTGGAGGGTAGGAGTGTGAGAATTCTGATCTAATTCCTGGCCATGGAGCCTGGTTGCCAGCACCCACTCCCATCAGCAGCTGTACAACGATTTTGTATCAGTTACTCCTAGGCCCAAGAGATCCTAAAGGGAACCGACTGGCTGAGCTCTTAGGCAGGACATTATTCCACCACAGAAGAGATCTTAAAAAGGATACTTCAGATTCTACATTTAACTTGGCTTCACTCTTACTTTGGCATTAAGTAATTCAATTTCTCTGTGATTTAGCATTGGCAACCCTCAGACAGATTGGGAGAAACCTGTTACCTCTCCCTTCATGCATCTTTTCTAAAAACGCTTCTCCATCATTCCTTATGAATTCTGCATTCATGCCTCATGCTTATCTTGAAACTGCCACATACCTCTTTTTTACCTTTATATTCCTTAAATTCTGAAGAATGCCATTACTGATAGGATTAAAGTTTGCCTCTGGGATGAGGATGGAAATCCTCATATTATTTAACAATGCTAGAGAGCAACATGGATTTGCTCTAGGCTGGGTTAAATAGCAAGGCCAGGACCAAAGGGCAGTCTTGTTCCCTCATCTTATGCAGATTCCCCAAATGGCAGGGGGTCAGTGACAGAGGTAGAAGGCAGGAGGGGGCTGCTATTACCTTCATAAACTGCTGCAGCTCGTATAGAACGTGGTAGTAGTTCTTCTTCTGTAAATGTTGGCAGGCAGCAATCAAGTACTTTCCCCAGCTCTCCAAAGTGGGATCAATGGATTCCAGCAAGTTTTCCAAGGTGTGTAGCTTCCCACTTTTATAGCTTGGCTGGAAAATGCCTTCTATGAAGACTTCTGGAGGACTCTCCTGGAGCAGAGCAAGGCAAACAGTCAAAAGTGCCACACGTACTAATCCCCTTGCTTCTGAAGCTCATCTGTGGTTCGGAGACCCTGAGTCATAAACCACCATCCCATACTCATAGAAAAGAAAATCATTTGGGCTTTCAGACTTTAGACTACGAGTAACTAATGGAGGAGAGAAAAGGGTGGCTATAAACTCAGGGTAGTGTAACCATGCCAGCCTTGTAGCACTGGGCACATGCTGTTTAGAAGTAGAGAAGACCTGGGCTCTGAGAACATCCACAGTGGGCGAGGACTCCTTTCCTGATTCTGGCTGTTCCTAACTGAGAAACCCAGATCTAACCTAAAATTTGTAGGATAGACTTTAAGAAGCAGGAAGCTCCATAGGAAAGGTGGAATTCCTCAAAAGAGCAACATCTTAAGGGCCGGCCCCGTGGCTTGGTGGTTAAGTGCGCGCGCTCCGATGCTGGCGGCCCGGGTTCGGATCCCGGGTGCGCACCGAGGCACCACTTCTCCGTCCATCCTGAGGCCGAGTCCCATATACAGCAACTGGAAGGATGTGCAGCTATGACATACAACTATCTGCTGGGGCTTTGGGGGGAAAAAATAAATAAATAAAATCTTTAAAAAAAAAAAAAGAAAAGAAAAGTAAAATACAGGCCTTCTTGGTCCAGAAAGAAAGACACAACTGTAAACAAATAGCTGCAGTCCAGGGGGACAAATGCAATAACAGAGCTATGTCCTAGTACAATGCGGTGAAAAAGGAAGAGGTCATTAACGTTGCTTGTGTGTTCTGAGAACGCTCGACAGAGAGGGTCTGAATGGACCAATAGGAGTTTTCTAAGAAAACAAGGAGAGGCAGGGCATTCTAGGTAGGGGAACAGCCCAGGCAGGCTCATGGAGGTAAGAAAGTGCATGGAACAATCAGGAAAACATAAGTAATTCGGTAAGTCTGGAATATAAGGTATAGACAGGATTTGTGAAATTAAACTGGAGAAATAAGGGGCCCTGATCCTGGTGGGTCCTGTATGCTAAGGAATGGGGACTTCATCCTGTGGCCATGGGGACCTACTGAAGGCCTTTTACAGAGAAACAACATGCATTATGAATGCCATAAACAACATGTGTTATGTTTTAGAAAGATCACTCTGGGGCAGTGTGGTAGTTAACGGGCTGAAAGAGCAGGGAATAAGGCTAGCAACAGAATACCAGGTTCTAGGCATTCAGTCATAGTTTTCACAATGTTTTTTTCTGTTGTTCCCTACCTGCTTGAGAATTAAGGTAAGAGATTTCAGTTCAAGGGCAATTGCCATTACAGGGGATAAAAAGAAGGCTTCTTTCCTAGCTCTGACAAATGTAAACAGGGGCAATGCTGTGATCAGCTTATACCAAGATAAGTAAGTAAGCAGCTTAACTCTCTGGACTAGGCATCAGTTGGAAGAAACAGAACTGGGTGATTTCCATGCTCAATTTGTGCTTGGGAGAAGCAGCTTGACCTCAAAACTCATTTGGAAAGCAAGGAAAAGGAAAAAAGTTAGCAATTAAATTCCAAATAATATAACTTTTACATTATTCTTGAGACCTGGTTAGTAGCAAAGACACACAGTCAGTAGCTAAGGCAGCTGTGAAGACATTTTTCTTTCACTGTCCTGTAAGGGTGTGGTTTCCATGATTCTGTGGAGCAACCCTAGAAGATGTCTATTTGTAAACGTTCACTGGCTGCCATTTTGAAATTAAAGTACACCTTGGGCTCCTTTAATTTTATAAGAAATTTGGTGCGAATCAGCCAACTCCCCAGGAAGTTTTCATGGAACATTCAGATAAAAGAGGGAATGCCAAAAGGTCATGGTGAAACAGAGTCCTGACTTTGGCTCCAAAGAAATAGTCCACTTCAGTGGTGCCTTTGCTCCTGTGGAAGGAGGGCAGAGGATGTCAGAGGGAAAAAGGAGAGCACATTCTCCTTTTATTAGATATTTGAGGCCCAAATACAGGATCTATGCCATGGGTGCTTCCTGGCCCTTGTGGTAACAACTCTGAGTGGACGAGCAGCTGGGTCAGCAGTGGGACACAGCCCTAGGGCAGGTGGGAAGTGTGTGGAAACAGAGAGAGGTTAAGCAATTTTCCCAAGGTCACACCTCTTATACCAAGCATCTCATTCCAGAGACCATGCTCTCAACTACTATTTGATTCTGCTCTAGGTTTTGGGAGAAGGGAAGAAATTTGTCATTGCCAGTCAGAAGGTTAATTTGGGATCCAGGTTAAGACTTATTGCAGCACACTCACCAAATTGTGACTTGTGTAGACAGAATTTTCCATTTTGACCTGACTCTGCCAGAGATGATCTCATAGCTCAACACCGGGTTAAGTTCAAGGGGGATTATCACCACCTTTAAAGCGGAGTGGGCCAACCTAGGTGGGCAAAGCAGGCCCCGCCCTTGGAGAGCTGTATTTGCGTGTCCTACCTTGTTGAGGAGGTGCAGCAAGGCTTCCCGCAGGCAGCTGTGCCTCACGTAGAAGCTGATGATGGCCAGGTGGGTGCTATAGTTATGCAGGTAGAAGAGGCATTCTTGGTAGTAGGTGTTGTTCATGATCTTCCCTTCAGGAATCACCTCCAGAGACAGGCTCTGGGTCCGAAGGGTAGATTCCAGTTCTTTCAAGGTGGCAAAATAATCATCATCTTGCTGACAGGAAAGGAGAGAGTGTGAGGGCAAAATGGAACTCAGTAAGATCTCAGCAGCCTCTGAAAATATTGCTTTCAAAGAATATTTAACAATGTGGGAAAATGCTCACAATACAGTTTTAAGGTAGAAAAACAGGCAGTATTATAATATGTAGAACTTATATTTAATTACTAATATATAGAATATATTACACATATAATTCTATACATTGTAATACTATATAAAACCAATTTCATTAAAAAATGTGACATAAATTCACCAAAATCTATATACTACTTAAGTCTGGGTATGGGATTATACATGATTTTTATCATTTAAAAAGTAGTTTTCTGTAGTTTGCTTTTTAAAAATTTGACTCTGTATTACTAATCTAACCATATATAGTTACTTATCTAACTATATATAATGGAAAGAACAAAAGTCAAATGTGGCAGCTCTGAGCCAGGACCGCCCCTCTCAGCTGAGCGGAAGCTGATCCTCTCCCCAGGTCATTCCTGCTCTGGGCCTCCTCCCTGAGCCGCCCCTCCGCCTGCTGTGCTCTTACCAAGGACAGCAGTGGCCTCGCTGTGGACTCCAGGTACTCAACCACATCCTGTACCAGTCTTGAGCCATGACTCAGCTGATTGAGGTCAAAAGGGGGCTTAAGACAGCGACTGAACTTCTCCCGTGCGGCAGTGAGGTTCCCAGCTTTGAGGCAGGCCATGCCCCAAGCATGCCATGCCCCAGTGGTATCAAGCCCCATCTTTGTAGAGACCTGGAGGAAGAATCTTTAGTGAGAGGCACCTACATTAAGGCCTGAGAGTCCCAGGGACCTATTCTAACCCCTTGTTGCCAATCACTCCTCCCCCGCTGCACCTGCCCTTACTCCCACCTGGGAAAACTGGTCATGCACTTAACACTTCCCCACAGCCAAGGACAACTGAGAGATGGCAATCCCTGTTTGCAAGGCTAGGCAAAGGCAACTCATTTCAGTTGGGCAGAAGTAAGCTTTGTCTTTGCCTCACCTCAACACCCAGTTGGTAGTATTCAGCTTCCAAAAGCTGGTTCCTTAGCCTGGTTACTGCAGCTGGCTGCAAGATCTGATCCAGGGATGGCACATGCCGATAGGCAGCAGCAACTAAAATATTCAGGACATCTACCTTGCTGATGTAGCTGCAGGGAGGAAAAGGGCAAGGCAATGAGGCTCCACAGTCTTACCTAGAATAGTTGCTGCTTAAAGGTTTTCTATTTCATGTCCAACATGAAATGTGACAATGAGAAGTGAGAGGCATGTAGACACTAAGAGAGAAGACTCTGGAGTCAGACTCTGAATCCCAACTCCCTAACTTAGCAGCTCTGTGACCTCGGGCGGGTTAGTTAACCTTTCTCTGCCTCAATTTACTCAACCGTAAAATGGATATAACAACAGGGAGTTTTAAGGATAAAATGAAATAACCCAAGTAAAAGGGCTTAGGACAGTGTCTGGAACTTTATAGGCATGCATCAAATGTTAGATATTAACACGCAGGTGGGGATGCTCAGGACTTCTATGTGAAGCAAGGCTTTTACATTGAATGTTGGAGGCTCACAAGTTATCTGTTTGCGTTTTGGTCCTTTTGAACCTTGCTTGCTTGAGAGAAAGCACAGAGACTACATCCATGGCCTGCACTCCTGCTCAGTACAGAGGTCACATCACTACTATGCCCTGGAGGTGTTGCCGGGCAGGGACATGCTGGCCCTTCACTTTGATTCTAGTCTCTTGGACTTGACATCCTCTCCCTGGGCTAAGAATAGGCTCTTGTCACAGCCCACGAGGCCTGCTGCCTTTGATCTTACTCCTGGCACCTGATGGCTGCAAAAACCTTACAATGACAGATGGCCCAGAGAGCTGGATCATTCTGTCCAGTGCTGCCTCAAACAGGCCTACACTCCAGGTTCTTGAATCTTGTATCATAATTCTAGCAAAAAACCGTGCGGATCCTGACTTGTCCACTGGAAGGGATTTGGTACATCAGTGATTCTCAACCTAGTGGGGATGGGGTAAGGGAGAGTATAGTATGTGTAAAAGCAAATTCAGTATCATAATGTATTTATACATTTGGAAAATGAAAGATTTGAAATAGGTGGTGTGAGTTTTGTTTTTCAACATTCATTCATTCATTTATTTAAATGTCTATCACAAGGAGGTATGAGTTCAAAACAGTAGACAAATACTCTGTAAACCAGGAATTCTAAACACACATGCGAGATGAAGCCCCTCCCATCAGCAAAGGAGCACATAGGTGGTGCTTCTCTAGAGTGGGTCTATCTGAATCCAGGCTGGGGGAGAAGGAATGCATAATCTGGAACCACTGCTGTAAACTGTCAGAGGAGCCCATGGCACCCTGGGGTGGCCGAGAATCGTCCTGAAGCGAGGACTGCCGTAATTTCTGCTGCCCTCAGCCTAAAGCAGATAGTTCCCCATCCACATGAGATTCTGAAGGAAGTTCAGGACTTGTTATTAAATTTGTTTTTCCTCCCAATCTGAGTATCTTTTTCTTTTTCTTTTTTGCGAGGAAGATCAGCCCTGAGCTAACATCCATGCCAATCCTCCTCTTTTTGCTGAGGAAGACTGGCCCTGAGCTAACATCCGTGCCCATCTTCCTCCACTTTATGTGGGATGCCGTCACAGCACGGCCTGACAAGCGGTGCAGCGGTGCGTGCCCGGGATCCGAACCTGGGCTGCCAGAAGCGGAGCGTGCGCACTTAACCGCTACGCCACGGGGCCGGCCCCTCTTTTTCTTTTAATAAAATTTTATCTCACATACATTACTGGTATTTGAGATATATTTAGATATATTTTTATTATTGCCTTAAAGCTTCTTTCATGTTTACTTTGTTTTCTACCTTTTATTATCTGGAGTGGTTTCTGTTTTTTTCTCCTCCTTTCTTCCATTTCTGGTAACTTGGTAGATTTTTCTTTCTTTTCATGGTTATTTAAAACACTTTACTTAACATATTAGCTATCTATTTCTTTATTTATCAACTTGAAAAATGATGTAGCGTCTACTGCTTCTGAATATAAAAGTGAAATTAACTCCTTTATATTAACTCCTTCCACTTTCTGTCCGAACTCCTCTGCCTTTCTCAATCTTCTGGTTTTTGTTAATAAAAATAATAAAACTAACTAACATTTTTGGAGTACACAGTATGCACCAGGCTCAGTTCTTAGCTCTTTACAGGGATACTCTCATTTTATCCACATAATGGCCCTATAATTATTATTATCATCCTCATTTTATAGAAAACTGAGGTCCAGAAGGTTAACAGACTTGTCCAAGGCTTCAGAGCTAGGAAGCGGTGACGCTGGGATTCACTGCTCTCTGGTGAGCTGGTAGGTAAGTACTCTGAGTAAGCACCTGAGGCACCTACACTGCAAAGAAAATGATGCTCTCTGCTCCCTAACGTGGCTAGGACTGAGTGCCGGGAATACACACCATGAGTCACACATCTAGGTGGATAAGCCAGGAATTAAGAGCTTTCATTGTGTTAATGAATGGAGGCTGAGCAGGTTATGCAGGGATCTGAGGCTGAATCATACCTTTTCCACAGATACTTCTTTATGACTCAGACGCCTGCCTGTGACACAGGGATAGACCAGTCCGCAGACCAGTCCCCAGACCCTGAGGCCACAGTCTGAATTTGGTCAAGACTGGGGTAGAGTTTTGGTCAAGGCTAAGCACTGCACATTTTTCTTTAAAAGGACATTTCTTTAAAAGGACAAATTTCTTTAAAAGCCAGAAAGTTCCACAGAGACTAAACGTGGTCTCCTAAATTTATTTTAATTATAAATTAACTAAAGTTTTTACTTTCTTTCTGACTGGGTATAGCTAGAGAATACTCAGCTTTGAGGATCCACTCATGGAAGGAGAAGGACACAGGCTGTCAAGGTAGGGTGAGGAAGACCATTTGTGATCTGGTAACAGCATTTCATCAACATCAAACTGAGATGCAAAACATTTCAGCATGTCTTGTCAGAGAGGATAGTGAGGCAAAAACTCATGGTGTGGTCAAAAAAATGAATGACAGAAATGACCACCATGTAAAAGATCAGAGACTCATTTCCACTTACCTGTCACAAAGAGCGAGGTCCTGGCTCTGGCCGGCCTTGACGAACATCATCTTGGCACTGAAGAGCAGCTGCTTCATAATGTCTGTGAGCAGCCCCGCATCCACCTCGGGGTTGGTGAGGCCCTGGGACAGCCTGCAGCAGTGCTCAATCAGCTGGTGGCCACAGGAAGTGCAGTCCCGGTGCAGATTCATGATGGCGATGCACAAGGAGGCGTTGGGGGCCTAGCCAGGGTGGAAGAAGAGAGAAATACAGTGAGTCCAGGGGCCAAAGCAGTCTTCCAATGTAGTGGGATGGCAGGAATTCTTCCCATTTCACAAAGCTTGAAAAACACTGGAGGAAGAAGCCAGAATTCCACAGCAAAGCAGAAGAGGAACTAAACAAAGTTCAGATGTCTCAAGTAGCACGACCAAAGCTCTGGCTGCTAGGTTTTGTCACCTTACTGGGAAGAAGGCAGCTGTGTCCATGTGTTACCTACTTCTTGGGAACGTAGATATGTCCCCTCCTTTCTCCAGTCTACTGTCCCACTAGCGCAGGTCCTCCTTATTGCTGGCTTGGACTATGACTGTCACCTTGCTTAGCTGACCACCTGGAGAAGTCTTGGCTTCAAGCCACTGGACACACTGCTGCTAAATTAATATTCCAAAAGCACACTCTGAAACCTTTCATGGTCCCTGATGCCTAAGGAGAACATATTCCTTACTGCAGAATTCAAGGCCCTATACATTAACAGCCTACGTTTTACTACTTCTCTATTAACACCCTATGTTCCCTCCAGATTAAACCATTTCCAATTCCCTAATCATGTCCTGCAATATGTGACACTGTGCCTTGCTCAAATATTTTAGTTTTGCATTCTTTGTCTTTCCCCTATTCTCACTCCCCTCACAATCCCCAAATTTCTGCTTGCCAAAATTCTACCACTCTTCCAAGGCTCATCTTACATGTTACCTCTTCCATGAAGCCTTTCCTGATCTTCTCTAGTGCTTTCCCAAGATGCTCCTTATTTTCTGCCTTAACGGGCTTTACTCGTCTTAGCTGCCATATGATTGCAACTGAAAGCAAGCCAAGGCCAGGCTGTGTTCACTTTTCTCTGAATTTCCTGCCATACTACTGCATATCATAAAGAAACTCAAACACTATACTACACATCAAAAGACTTCAAATTTCATTACCATTACCTGCTCATAGTAAAATTCACTCCGCACCAGCTCATTTTCCTCCTCATTCAGATCCAAAATCCATTCCACCTCAGCTGGCTTGGGGACTCTCACCACAGATGAGAATGGAGGGCTTTCACTCTTGGAGCTGTCTGGTGCTGAGGAGAGAAATGCCATTCACGTGTCAGTCACTGGCCGGCAGTCCAGTCTATCCAGTCCAGTGAGCTAGTGAGAGCTGCAGGCAGATCCCTGCCTGCTAGCTTAGGGCCCTCTCTCTCTCCCTGGTCCCTTTCATTTCCTTTAGGAGATCACATTGGGTACCCCAAACTTTCTTCCCCAGGGAAGACCTGGGATGAGTGTTACAGTGTTTGTCATACAACCCTGTTGCTTCACAAAAGAAACCCTGAAAGGTATATGCTTCTCAAATGGAGGGCTGAGCCATTGGCTACTCTAAAAACTAACTGCTGGGGCCGGCCTGGTGGCGCAAGCGGTTAAGTGTGCACGTTCGCTGCGGCGGCCCAGGGTTCGCCGGTTTGGATCCCGGGCGTGCACCGATGCACTGCTTGTCAGGCCATGCTGTGGCGGCGTCCCATATAAAGTGGAGGAAGATGGGCACGGATGTTAGCTCAGGGCCAGTCTTCCTCAGCAAAAAGAGGAGGATTGGCATAGAAAGTTACCTCCGGGCTGATCTTCCCCACAAAAAAAAAATAAAATAAAAACTAACTGCTGTAGAAGGATAGAGGCCAAACTATTACTAGTGATTACCTAGGGGGAAGGAGAGAGCATTGGAGGTAGGATGGTGGTGATGGGAAACCTAGGGGTTGGGGGAAAGAGCAATAACCTACTAAAAGTTAAGGACCAAATTCTCTGGTTGCTGGCCTTCTCAATGCTGGAAGCTAATGGACCAGTATGATAGGTTAATATGATGATAAACTTTAAGGGAAAGAGCTTGAGAGAAACGCCAGAATCTTCTTTGGCCAAGTTGGATTGAATTGCACTGAGGGAATCAGTGCAGCTGATACGCTGAAGGTAGAGCCTACTTGAGCGTATACACAGTCACAGGGAATGCGACTCAACTTTACCTTCTGCTTGTCCTGGATTCTCCTCTGGCACACTGGAACAGAGAAAGAAAAATGAAATGCCTGAATCCCTCTTCCTCCTCTTTGTCTTGAGCTTGGTGTATAGCATTGACATTTACTCTGTTACCCAAGTGAGAGATCAAGGAATCACCCAAAACTCTTTCCTCTCCCTTACCTGTCACAGCCTATCACTCACCATTTCCTGTCCATTCCATCTCCTAAATGCCTCTTTAAATGTCCCCACCTCTCTTTTCAGCCCTGTCTCAGAGAGGGCCCTCATCGTTGGTTGTTAGAGCCTTTGCAATAGCTTCCCAATTGGTCTCCTTGATTCTGTCAAACTATTCTCTACTTTGCAGCTACACCAAGCTTTGAAAAATGCAAATCTGATCATGTTACGCTTGTTTAAAATTCTTCAGCAGCTCCTCAGGGTAAAAATATTCCACATGTGCAGTTCAGCAGACAGAGCCCCTTATAACCTGGCCTGGCTACCTCTTGAGGCACTGGACTGCCACCCATGACCTGTGCTCAACCCATAGAAGTCCTCCCCACTCTGCCACTGGCTCTAGTCAACTTCAGTTGGTACCACCAAGCACAAAGTCTTGATGTCACAAGCCAGAACCCAAGTCCATCACCTGCACGAGGAGCCTGCTGGTCAACCCCCAGCCCATGCTGCCAAAGAGCAAGTGCCAAGCCTTTGTGCCACTGCCTAAGCCCTCCCTCAGCTGCCAGCCTCTAAGTCCAAGGTACGTTGGCCAGAACCTTAACCCATCACCTGCCTATTTACACTTCCTCAAATGACCCACATTTTCTCCTGTCCCTACCTTTGAAGTTGTTACTCCCACTTCTGGGCACGCTCTGTTTTGGCTTCTTTTCCTACTGACTTCTTATCCTGTAAGGCTCAGACCAGGTGCCACCTCTTAGAAACCCTCCTGCCCACTAGGCTAAGCTGTGTGTGTCTCCACCACTGTACTTATCCAATGGCTTTGTGCTCTGTTTTTTGGCTGTCTCTCCACTAAGATGGGGCTCCTTGAGGGCAAAGTGATTACTGCCGAGTGATTGCTGAATGAAAGAATCCCCATCAACACTAACTGCTCATTTCAAATCTCAGCAGTATGGCATGTGGGTAATTCCCCTGAACTCCATCCCAAAGGAGGCAGTGGTAAGCCAGGGTCACAGAAACTGTAGTATAAGCATGGCACATATTCCTTCCTACGAGATCAGTAATCATCATGGTAAACAATGACAAAAAAAGTTCATATGAAAACAAACACAAACATACTATGGAGCTACTGAACAGAATGTAAACTCTACTTAAGTCTGTAAGTAAAACACGAAGAATTCAAAGTAATGTTGCTTTTGGATAGTTGCTTTGGCTCATATTCCCAGATGCTCTAGGAGTCTGTTTCACTCTCCTTTGGTGCTAGAAGTAGTGGAAAAAATTGAGCAACACTGAGCCAGCAAACACAGTCTTGATCTGACTTGCTAGAGGTATGAGCAGTTTCTGAAATCTGTCACCAGCTGAAGTGTGTAGGAAGTGGGGGGGCTCTTCTAATTGTGGATGACAAGCCAGGATGACTAGTTAGATTAGGGCTAATGCAAGAGGTGCCCAAAATTCAACAGGTATGAACACGTCCCTTTGAGTCCAGCTGAGACCAACTGAAGCCAAGAGTGGCTGGGAAACAGGTGAGGTTGTTGGTGAACTAAGATCAGTGGCCTGAGTCAGGGCACGGGCTGAAGAGCCAAGTGTCCTCATCTCAGAGACAATATCATGTAAGAGCCTTGAACTCTGCTTCCTTCATCTGTACTTGGTCAGAGGAAGTTTCTCTGACCAAGGGCAAACATTTCACTGTAGAGTTCATAGCATTTCAGTGTGAATGTTAAATTAAAACTTTTTGCAATTGTTCCAGATTTGAGAAACTCTCCACAATGAGACCCCTAGGAGTGTAAGGACCTGGAGGAGGGTGCAGTGGTCAATAATAGTAGCAGCCCTGCTGCAGGACACTCACTCTTTGTTGTAGTAACTATAGCACTGGTCACACACGCGAGTAGGGTTCTCTCTGCAGCCTTCCACCACCATTTTCTTAGTGGAGCAGGAACTGCACACTAGCCGTCCACAGCGGCGACAGTGATGACGCCTGTTAAACTGAGGAGTGCCGTCGGGAAGAGAAGGAAGAGGGAGGAAGAGAAGGTGAGATTGCAGGACCTGTGAGTGTACCTATCAACCCATTCATCCTTGGTATCAGCCACCTGTGACTTATTAAGAACACCAGGTGCTTGGGCCTCTACTGAGAAAGAACACACCAGTCCTTGCCTTCAAGAAGCTGACATTTAAAGATATTTCTCAGTCAACGAGCAAAGAACTGCCCAAGTCAAGGACAATTTGGTAATAGCTCCTGACAAGTTCTACCTGTTGGTGGAGGCAACATGTAAAGACCCAGCAAAAAGTACTGGGGAAGAAGTGACCTTCTCAGCCAATGCGAGTCACATTTCTACATGGTACTGACGATGATGAAAAAGTGTCCTTTTTCCAAAGTGCTTTTACAAGTGCTATCTCATTTCATTATAAGAGGTTAACAGACATATTACACCTCTTTTATAAATAAGGAGCAAACAGACACAGAGAAATGACATCATCATTGTTTTCATCAGCACTGAGCTAATATGACAGTACTGGTACTATGTTAACACAGGTACTATGTTAAGTGTGGTAACATTTGTTATCATAGTTAGTCCTTACAGCTCCATGAGCCAAATAATATATCACCCATAGTTTACAAGTGAGCATCAGAGACTGAAAAAGTTAACAGTCACCTAGCTAGTAAGAGGCAGAGCTGGGATTAGAACCCAGGTCCTCTGTCTCCAGAGCCAGCACATATGACTATTACCAGGTCACCTGTCTTATTCTGAACAACAGGGGAGCTAAAACAAGATCTCCTGATGTTTGGTGATTCCTCCTGCTATAGTACTCAGCCTCTTTTTAGTTATTTTATAAGAATGGCAAAGATTTTAGGATTTAAGGCTACCTGAGGGTGTCTATCACCCGTCCAAATCCGGAAAATACATTCTGGTCAGGTCAAAGACAAGCCCAAAGTCTTAGATTTGTAGTTCTTCTGAAAATACCAATATCCTCTTGGGGACAGGAGGTGACCATAAACTCAGGCTCATGAACCAGAGTTTTCCTTTAATTTCTTCTGCAGGTAGAGCTGGAGACTGACGCTGCTTACCATGGTGAAGTGCTCCCTGCAGCAGACCATGCAGATGCTCTCGCTCTCATCTGGTACCCACTGGTGCCTGGCAGGGGGTGTTGCTGGGGGCACAAACTCCAGTGGGGGCTGACTCTGCGGGAGGCTCCTCTCCCTTGGACTGGGAGAATGTACAATGGAGACACCTGGGAGTCAGAGCCAGAAGTCAGAGTAAAAGGTGATGAATAGTCCAGCTAATAAATGAAGGAAGTAGAGAATTAAAATTTCACCATTTTACAAACTCCTGGAATAACAGATCCAGTTGATGGTCATCAGTGACTGACTGCATCACAAAAAGACAGACAACTGGACATTGTGCATCTCCTGACGGAAGGCACACAACCCCCTATCAAATATACCTACCAAAAAATACTAAGCCTGAATCAAATCAAGCTTCTAGATCAATCTACCAGTGTACTGGAAATACAGCAGATGGAGACTTAGATTGCCGCAGGGCGGCAATCAGCAAAATCCAGCATGTGGGAAGCTCTCCAGGACAAATGACCTAGTTCCCTCCAAAAATAAAAAAGACGTAGAGGAGCCTATTGATTAAAAGTGATTTAAGAGGTATTTTAGCCAAATGCCATGTGTGGACATTATTTGGATCTTGATTCTAGAAAAACCAATTCTAAAAATATCTTTATGAGACAACTGGCGAAATTTGAATACTGACTGGATAGCTGATAATAACAAAGAATTGTTAATTTGTTTTTAGGTCTGATAATTATGTTATGGTTTTGTTTTATAAATGTCCTTACCTTTTAGAGATATATACTGATACATTTATAAACGAAATGATATGATATCTAGGATTGGCTTCAAACTAATCCAGTAGAAGGACAGGGTATAGATGAAACAAGAATGGTCATCAAGAGATGATAATTACAGTAGCTGAGTAATGGGTATGTGAGACTTCATTACACTTTTCTGTCTACTTTTGCATACTGGATATTTTCCAAAATAAAAAGCTAAAAAAAACCAAGAAGTAAACCAAAGCTGCTCAGCTGCCTCACAGAGGAGTGAAGCTGCTCATACACCCGTCTGTCTGAGCCTTTCCCTCAGGTCCGCTGGTTATCCTGAAGCATGGCCACTTCTCCAAGTAGGGCCACGAAATGCCAGTCTTTGCGTTAGGGTATCTAAGGAGATTTCTTGCCACCTAGCAGAGCAATGTTGGCAGGTCACAGAAAATGAAAACTGAAAAATACAGCGACTCCTCACAGCACCCAGAAGAGGAGAGGCTATAGATCTCTCCCAGGATCCTACTCCCCTGACCGCTGGCAAACCAAACACCTGCTGAGCTTCTCCTGAGTGCAGGCCATTGTGCGAGGGGCCAGAGACTGTGGGACAGGAGCTGTGGTGAGAAGGGACACCCAAGACATGGCTGAGGCCTTCAAGGAGCTCGCACCCTGTGTGGGTGACAGACATAACTAACTAACTGCAGCATAGGGGCAGAATGAACACAAGCACTAAATACAGTCGATCTTCCTTATTAGCAGATTCTGTATTTGTGAATTTGCCTACTTGCTAAAATGTGTCACCCCAAAAATCACTATTTGCAGTGCTTTTCAAGGCATGTGCAGAGTGGCAAATAATTTGAGGCACCCGACATTCAGGTTCTCATCTGAGGTTGAACAAGGGGGCACTGTGCTTTCTTATTTCAGCTCCATGCAGAGAGGACCAGAGGATGGGGACGGTAGGGGACAGTGTGGTGCCAGAAGCTCTGACTCTGGGGCTGGCTGGATAGGGCTGGAATCCCAAACACTCAACAGGCACTCATTAGTGGGGTCGCCTCAGGCAAGCAACTTGACCACTTGTGAACCTCTTTTTCTCTTTTGTAAAATAAAGAAAACAGAATCTACTAGGATGAATTGTTTTCAATTTAGGATTATAATCTATGTGAGAGAGAGATATATATATATACATCTATGTAAATATTTTCCCTAGGAGTAATGGTTCAGGATTCGTTAATTCACTGTTTGTGGGGACTTTATAGATACATGACTGCAAATAACGAGATTTGATTGTGTGTTGGATTATTTGGGATTTACAAAGCTGGAATGAACCCAGAAAAATAATTAATAAGAATGTTGTAACTGGAAATGAAAAAAGAGACAAAAGAATCAGAAAGTCAGAACAAGGTAAGGTTGAACTAAAAAATGGGTAACTCTCAGAACCTGTTCTTACCAGGAGTAGCAGCAGAAAGGAACTCTGCTGATGGTGATCTAGACAAGCTCTCGAGGTCTGAAGCCTGACTGACAACTTCTTGGAGGTGAATCACAGAATCTGCAGAGAGGGAAAACGCTGACGAAATGTCGTTCTACCATAAACATCTTTACTCCCTGTGCTAGGCACTTAGTTCAAAGCCCTGCTGGCTTCGCTGACTGTCATCCCATGATTCTACGAGGTTTCAAAAGAAGGGTAGAGGCACTTCTAAGAAAATAGCGAGCGTACTTCTTAAACTCCTCAAAAACAAACTATGTTTGGGCGCATGAGGTAATGAAGTAGATGCTAGGATTTTACAAAATAAACCTAAAAAATGCCAGAGGGAAGTGGAAGACATTTAAATGATGGTCCTGGAGGGTAGGGAATAAGAAAAAAAAGCTGGCTGGGAACATCAGCCCACATTTATTTCATCTTCTTCTTTCTAGGAGAGGCTGAGTCAGCTCACATAGTAGTGATATCTGACGTGACCCTGGGAATACAGCACACCCTCAATACACAACGATGGCACTTAAGAGCCCACTGCACTAAGGCCAGACAGAGACCACCTTCAGCATGTTTTGTTTCCCAAACCTTTATGTTCTTATGCGAGTGGTGGTTATCTATTATCCTTTAATTCTAGCCGGTTGCTTCCTCCAAGACAAAGATCTCTCCAATATAATAAAGAGCTCTCTCTCCTCTGGTGTCACTCTCGATCAGCTCAAAACAATAAAAGAGGAGAAATTAAAACTAAGGATGTAGGGGCCGGCTCCATGGCTTGATGGTTAAGTGCGCGCACTCCGCTACTGGCGGCCTGGGTTCGGATCCCGGGCGCGCACTGACGCACCGCTTGTCCGGCCATGCTGAGGCTGCGTCCCACATACAGCACCTAGAAGGATGTGCAACTATGACATACAACTATCTACTGGGGCTTTGGGGAGAAAAAGGGAAAAAAAGGAGGAGGATTGGCAATAGACCCTAGCTCAGGGCCGGTCTTCCTCAGCAAAAAAAAAAGAGGAGGATTGGCATGGATGTTAGCTCAGGGCTGATAAAAAAACTAAGGATGTAGTATGGTATTTCTTCCTCCATGTGGAACCCCCATCGAGGATGTTGGCAGTTACCTGATCGTTTTTCCCTCAGAGGGTACGGGAAGTCCAGGGCTTTCCCTGCGTATCTGGAAAGCAGCGAGTCAACCTCGTCCATGGTGAAGCCAATCTCCTGCCCGGCCAGCAGCTGGTGCAGAGTCTGCACAGCCACAGTGGCCCAATCCACTTTCATGTTCATGAGAAGCTGCTCCAGCATGAGCAGGGGGTTAGAGGACAAGTGGGAATAGCTGGCCCGGTGCTGCTCAGGCAGGGTCAGCAGAACCTGTTTGTGGAGTAGATCCATAGAGTAAAGAAAATAGTACCCAAATTTCAGAAGAAAGCTGAGATTCCTACTGGGAAGAAGGAAGGGTGTCAGAGACCAAAGGCACATGGCCAAGTATTGAAACTGGCTAGTAGTCTTTTAGGAAACAGGCTGGACTCCCATCTAAATCCTCCAGGTGGCAATCAAGAAGTACCCCAAGTAGCTTCACCACAAGTACTCCACTCGGCCAGCTGAGTGAGGAAACAGCCATAGGCAGTATGTAAATGAATGCACATGCTTGTGTTCCAATAAAACTTGATTTACAAAAGCAGGCTGAGGGCTGGATTTGGCCCACAGGTGGTAGTCTGCTGACCCCTGGTGTAGACCCTCCAGGCATGGCTGAGCTCTGCCTGATCCTTAAAGCCACCATTCTGTCCACTTGAGGCTTTATTAGAATGAGCAGTATACGATAAGATTTTAGCAGCGGATTGCCTAAACCTGGCACCTCTAGTGTCCTGCAGGTAAACAACAACTCTAGACTCTTTCCAGAGGTTACCACTAGGCTTGAAATATGTTCACTGGCTCTGCTCATTGCCACTTTTCAAGGATTCCCCCATTTAGGTACAGTGCATCAGAAAAAAAAAAAAAAGGTGTATCTCCCTTAGGAACATTTTATTTAGTTGAACTCTTAGCACGTGGACCAGTGGTCATATTCATGGCTCTCCCAGTACTCATTCTATTTATGTGGCAAGTTCTATATTCATGGGGCGGTATATAAGACTGCCAATCAGAATCATTAGAAGAGTGTCAGAGGGCCCAATTCTCCCCAAACCCTCCTTCACTAGATTACTTTTTCTAGCTTATAAAGTCTTCTATTATTGTCTCCAAGGTTACGTGCCAAAGGTAAAGATTTATTACCTTACTACCTAGGCAATTAACCCTTTTCCTTTAGCACAGACTAGTTTATCAAGCAGTAATTTTACATCCTCACATCAGAATCCCTTTGGAAGGTAGCTAGGCCCTGTCCCAAGAGATTCAATTTTAATTCACCTGGGGTGGAGGTCACCTACTGGTATTTTTAAAAAGTCCAGGTGATTCTAATACATGGTCAGAATTGAGAAGCACTGATATAGCAGACGCCAGAGAAAGCATAAAGAGAACTTAAGAGGACCAGGTAAAATTCACTTTGGAGGCAGGGCAGTAAGAGAATGACAAGTCCTAACGAACTCAACTAGGATATGGTGGGCTGCTAGGGTAAAGATTTTATACAGCACAGGCTAAGGATGACAGGTGCCTAGAAGAAGAGCCGTTGAAAGGGCAAAGTTCTGCAGTGGGAGCTGGGCCAGCAGACTCTCCTGCAGGCACGCTGTCCCATCACGTTCTTTTCCTCCTTACCTTGGATCCCATGTACAGTGCCTGGATTTCACGGTGTCGGATGGCAGTCAGTTCTCCATAGAAGTGGGTGGTGAGGTAGTTGGCCAAGAAATGAGAGGTGGCCAAGCTAGGGTGCTGGTCGAGGGACTGCTCTGTGACCTCAAGGCACATGGTGGGGTCAGGAATTCTCTGCAGGAGCTGTTGCAGGAGAAGCGTAGAAGTAAAGGTAGGCCTATAGAGGAACACTTAGTCCAGCCTTGTTCGGTTTGAGAAAGAAGCACTTAGGTTTATTCATTTTGAATTAACCCCTCTCCACACTCATTTTTCACCATCCCTGTAGCTTCACAAACAATGCTTTGACAGGACCAGAGTTCAGCAGGAATCCTGGACCCAGCTGCCCATCTGGCACCTAATGCAGGGCTGGGCACCTTCTGCTCAAGATGGGACACGAAGGGGCAGATCTGATACTGCAAATGCTTTGCACAGGATTCAGCATGAACAGAGCTGTCTGACTTGACTAACCTTCTTGTCCCTCCCCGAAAGAAAAATGAGAAGAGTTGGAGGCTTACTTGCAGAGCCTTTTCATGATCTCCTTTTTCTAGAAGGTGTAGAAGATGTTTTTGATGTAAGCTGATTAAATGTTCTCTTGGAATGGGGTATAGGCAGCCCCACTCCTCACACAGCCCATACTCCTGGAAGGAAACACACACATTCAATCCCTTTAAATTAATGGCCTTGTCCCTCATCTAGCTTTTGCCTGGTTTTTCTCAGCAGTCTTGAGCCTGCTAAAGCCCAAGGAGAGCTGCGTAAGTGCTGATGGCGACTTCACTGTGGGATTACGGTGGGATCATAAACTCAAAAGACTAGAGTGACAAGGTAAGTTATGAAAATGATCGAAGTAGGCTGACCGTTAATGGTATCATTTTCATCTTAGCTTTACTATAAAAAAGAAAAACAGACAACATACAGTGACTGACACTTGGTGTTAGCCCTAGGGAGATACAGAAGTGGGGAAGACTGAGAAGACCATCCAAAGGAGACAGTGCCTACTCAGCTCAGACTGTTGTCATATGGATGTGCAGGCCCAGTGTTGCCAGACTTTAAAACATTCAAAAAAATTTTTTTAATTAAAAATATTTCCTACTTTAAAATGTTGGCAATGAAATCAGTATGAAACAAATAAAAATTCTGCAGACCAATACCGCATGGGCCAAACATGTTGAGGGTTGGATTCCATCCACGTGCCTCCTTGCTAGCTGCCCCCCAATTTGTAAACTCTGGACTAAAGTTTCAGATAATGGAATTCCCAGGGCTTTGTCCAAGTATCCTAATACGGTGGTGTCTGGAATGCCCTCCTCACAACTCTGTCTGGGGCCGCCTTGTTCAGGATGCTTCCTTGTTTCTCAGGCTATGTTAGTGCCCTGCCTGTGCTCCCACCACAATCTGGGCTTACTTCTGTCACTTGATATATCGCAATCACCAAAGGATATGTGTCACATAGCCCCCCCTTCCCAAAATGTGAGCTGCGCAAGAGCAAGGACTAAGCTTAATTATCTTCATTTCACCACCATCTAGCACAGTGGCAAATAGGCAGTCAATAAAGGTTTCCTGGATGAATGAACATCTGAATGAGTATTTCTACATTTTGAACCATGGTATATCAGCTCCTTAAAAGGTAAATAAAATTCCATTTAGCACTCAAATGTCTAATAAATACATGAAAAGATATTCAAGGTCATTAGAAATCAAGGAAATATGAATTAAAACAATGATGAGATACCACCCTATTGGCAAAAGGTGAAAAGTTGGACAATACCAAAAGTTGGAAAGGATATGGAGCAACAGGAACTGTGCGTGGCAGTATAAGTGGGCAACCGACCTGAGGAGTGATTTGGTAATATCTTAGTAAGGGTGAGGATGCCCATGCCTGATGACACAGCAACCCCACTGCTGAGTGTGCACTCTGCGCCTAGTGTATACAGTGTAGAAAATCTCATGTATGAACATAAAGGTGATAGAACTAAAGAGTCTATTGTATTATTCTCTATACTTCTCTGTTGGCAAATTTTACAAGAAAAAAGAATGTGATGTAATTATAAAAAAATGTGGACACTGATACATGGAATGGGGTCTACACAACCAGCTAAGGAGTTGCAACTCTGAAAAGAGGAAGAAGGGGAATACCACCCAGGAAAATGGTACCTTTGCTTCTAGAATCATGTTCATGACAGTTGATGGGTCCTCAACACAACAGTTCCTCAGGGTCTGCCAGTCACACCATACGGGGGTTGCCTGCAGACCTAGAATCTAAGGAAAGACAGGAAGCTATCAAACCTCACTGCAGCTTCTCCCTCCATGAACAAGTCACTGGAGCTTCCAGGGATGGGCCATCCCTAGATCTCTGTCCCAAAGTCAGGCTGTCAGAATTTGCCAGGAGAGAGGAGGAATTAGAGCAAATGGTGCAAACACTGGAGAGGTGAGTGACCCTATCTAGAAGTATAATCAGGGAGCAGAGCCAGAGCAGGGAGGCCAGGATTGGGGCCTTTCATTGGTGAGGACAATTCTCAGAGGCTTCTGTGCTTCACAGCTTGTTCAGTCTTCCGGGGTCACTTGTCCCATGCTCCTTCATCTCAAAACTCTACCCAAGATATTCTTCTGGCTTGAATGCTCTGTGGGATCACCTTTCAGGCAGCATTTTAGCTTTGCAGGAAAACTGCTGAGGCAGTGGAAAGAAAATCTTTTCCACCTGCCATTTTCACCTGCCCTGGTGGGGCTCTGCACTCTGTCCAGTTCCAAGTACACATGGAAAAATGAGCATATATTTTATACTCTGTCATGTAGCTATACCACCTAAATCTGTCTCCCTGAGCCTCTTGAAGATAACACGTATCCCACAAGAATCTTTCACTTTTGAAACTGTCACCTTCATGCATCCTTTTAAAATGGCTTTTGAAATTTAGCTGAAATTTAAAACAATTTATTAAAAAAGACATTACAGACAAAAAACATACACAAAGCTCAAATATACACGTGAAAGAGGCTTTGTGGACTGTAAAGCATCATTTCAACGTTAATTTTGTTATTATTTTTATCCATGTTTGATGCACATATATTGAAAATTATAGGAGTAAATAAAACAGGAACCAGATAGGAGGCCTCCTCGCTATTCACGTAAGAGCAGAAGCCAGATGCAAAGCAAAAGCCAGGCCTAGATTTTCTGTTTCTTAAAATCTACCATCATATGAGAATAGGCTGGAGTTGGTAATAGGGTGAGAAGCCTATTTCCTTTCTCCTGATCCCAGGGCCCATACCTTCTGATACACCCGCAGTTCTGCCAGCTTTCTCTGTAGCTCACACTTTAGTCCGTCTTGGACAGCTGTGTCTGAAACACAGTAGGCCAGGATCTCCAGGCATGACTCCAGTGGCCATTTGTTCACAAACTGTAGGGTCAGTCGACTTCTCAGAGATGCATCCTTCACAGGAAACAGGTACCACCAACCTTCTTTGTCTACAAGACAACAAGATGCCTAGAGACAGCAAGCCTGGCCCTGGAAGAGCTCAAGATCCAGGTTACTTCTTAAGAGAGGGGCTTTGTTCAATTTCATAAAGCAGGAACTTGGAGGATCCTTAAGATCCATCTGACCTGAACTAGTTTTATACTTGGAACCATCATATGACAAGGAGAAATGCTATATCCCTATGTTTCTCTTTTTGCAAACTTGATCATAGCCATGAGACTTTCAGAAGGGAGAGAGGGAGAGAAGAGAAAAGGGAAGAAGAAGAAGGAAGGGATGGAGGAAGACAGAAGCACAGATGAAGCTCTCCATGTTCTGGCATGCTGCACATACAGCGCTCTTTCAGACTCAACTGTCAGTGGAACTTTTAGCTTTCCCTGCCATTTCCACCCTGTGTCATACATAACTACTTGAAAGTTGAAAGTAGTTTCAAACTACTTGAAACTAGTTTCACTCCCTTGATATCTTTGGCCATTTTTATTTAGTAGCTCTCTTTCTCCCAAACCCATTTCACAGAGCTGAAAAACACGCCAAGCAATTAAGACAGCACAGCCAATCAGTGGATTTCTCCCCTTTCCCAAGGGGTGATTTTCTCCTTTCCAGAGGCAGCCAAGCCTCCTACAGGGACAGCACACCTGACTCTTGCTCCCCCTAGTGGAGTCTTGTAGGTCATTGGCTCTCAACTCTGGTTACACATGAAAATCTCCTACAGAGCTTTCAAAGTAGGGGTTGTCATACAGGCCGACTGTCTGGTTTTATAAATAAAGTTTTATTAGAATATGGCCAGGCTCATTTATGTATGTATCGTGTATGGTTGCTTTCATGCTATAATGGCAGAGTTGAGTGTTGCAACTGAGACTGTTTGGCTTACAAAGCTCTTCATAGAAAAAGTTTGCTGACCTCTGTTTTAAAGTAAACACTTGCCTGACCTCCACCCTGGGCTTCTGGGGCTGGGGCTCAGATGCTTGTAGTTTATAGAAATTTCCAACGATTCTGACATGCAGGGTTGAGAATGTTGGTTACGAGTGCCTGTTCTAAACTTATATTCTAAGCTCTACCCCACCACTTATATCCTGGGTAAGCTTCTGATCCTCTGAGCCTCGGTCATCTCTCAGTATTATGAGATTATGGTGGCACCTTTCTCTAGAGTTCTCATGAGATCAAATACAATGATACACTCAGTGAATGCTAAATATTATTACCACTGGTGAAGGGGAGGCAGAGCTTTCTGCTCACCACAAGCTGCAGCACAGCTCAGGACTGCATCCCGTATGCCGCTCAAGTCGTCCGCGTCTCGCCCATACACCTCAGTGAGCTGAAGGGCCCGGGGCCAATCTCTGGCCACCAGGGCTTCCTCGAAGGCCTCAGTGAGCACATCCAGGGCAGTAGGAGAATGCAGGCCCAGAAGAACAGTAGAGAGACTGGCCTGGCCACAGAGACTTGCTGCCAGACTCTGCCTCTGCTCAGAGGACCCTCGTAAGGGCTCCCAGGCACCCATGAGGGAGGCCTCAAGCATAGGGAACTGTTCTAGCAGGCGCTCACACTCCTGGGCTACTTGCTCTGCAGTCAGAGGCACCTCCCTGCGGCCACGAAGCTCCTTCCATGACAAGCTGGGCTTGGTGACTTTTGCCCCCCAGGAAACCCCCAGACAGGCCACTGTAGCCAGCAGCTTTGAGCGGGACTTAAGGAAGGCCAAGGCAGAGGAGGTAAGGGCTGGAGGTGATGACTCCCTTCGGGAGGAGCAGGGCTCTCTCTCGAATGCGGGAATCTCAGCTGGCTTTGGGGAACTCAGGGTAGAAAGTGGGAGGTCCTCCAGGCAGTGGGAGGTGTGCAGCTGGGCCAGCGTGCCCAGGTGGGTCAGAAGGGATGATGTCTGCTGGCTTTGCCGGGAAGAGCAAAGGGCAAGGGGCTCACAGCAGCAGTTGACGATGACCTGTGGCACACTCAGGCTGAGACCCTCTCGGGCCAGAAGGGCTGCCAGCCTGGAGAGAGAGAAGCAGAGGGCATGCAAGGCCTGAGTGCATACACACCACCATCACCCAATCTCAGAATTTCTTTATACTCACACAAGCAAATGTAAATGCAGGCTCTTTAACCGTTTCTCTCTCTTATTTTTTACCCAAAGGTAGCCTATTAGGCACACTGCTCTGCCCTTTGCTTTTTCACTTAACAACAGGACATGGATAACAAAGGGATATGGAGATCTGTCCATATCCCTTTACAGAGAGGCTCCTCATTCTTTTTCACAGCTACATAGTATTCTATTATGTAGATGAACATAAGTTAACTAGTCTCCTATTAGCAGACAATGGATTTTTCTGATCTGTTGATATTACATATAAGGCTATAATAAAATGACTATACACACATCATTTTAAACGTGTACAATCATGTGTTGCTTAATGACGGGGATATGTTCTAGGAAATGCATTGGTAGGTGATTTTGTTGTTGTGCGAACAACATAGAGTGTACTTTCACAAGCCTAGATGGTATAGCCTACCACACACCTAGGCTTTTGGTACTAATCTTGTGGGACCACTGTCGTATATGTGGTCCATCATTGACTGAAACGTTATGTAGGCGCATGACTGTATAACAAAGGTGTAGGATAAATTCCCCAATGTGGATTGCTAGGCCAAAGAGTATATGAATTTCTAATTTTAGTAGGTACGGACAAACTGCCTTCCCACAGGGCCTGTACCAATTTATATCCCATTAGCAATCTATGAGAATCCCATAGCCTAACCAACTAATGTGTTACCAAATTTTCAGATTTTTGCCTATTCATAAGTGAAGATTCACCACTTAATTTTATATTTGTAACATAAATGTTAGAGGTGGCAAAAGAGAAAGAAATTAAGCACACTGAATTTTAACATAGCTGTATAACATTAAATGCAAATTAAGGGAAAAATCTGGAAGAAATTCCCACTCTCTGCACTGAACCCAAGCACAACCCCACTGAGCCCTTGGTTTCCTTGATGAAACAATTAGGGAGGCCCATGCTTGACTCCCACGGGGTGGCTCTTACCTGTCTGGGGGAACTTGTCGCTCAAGTAGGAGGTGTGACACCAGTTGGGAAGAGCTCTGTTGCAGGAGAACAAAGGGATTTCCTACCTTGACCTCCACGTGATCTGCAAAGGTAAAGAAAGTGACCTTTGTTTGCACCACTGACTGACACAGTTCAGAGCCCTGTTTTCCAGAATCAATAAAAAAGTACTACAGTGTCAAAACGAAGACTACATTGAAAGTCCTCCTGTTGATATTTTCCAGGTAATGGGTATTCTCAACATGACCCTGACCACAAGTTTATGCTTTACCACTGCTCTAAAGACTTCCAACCACACACAAACTTCAGTGGGCAGGTCTGGCCACAAAGAGCTCATCCTGCTCTCTTCAACATGACTGAAGTGCATGCAGTACTCGCTCTGTGGACTCAAGTAAGAATCTGGCACTCATATCAGAGACTTGATTCCTCTGCTGTGTCCTCATATCCACAGTGGTCTGAGAGAGGTATTTCTGAATCATCAATGCCATCAAAATTCATTGAGTACTCCCATGTGCTGTACAATTGTACTAAGCATTGGGGAGACAAAGATGAATAAAACACAGAGATGAATGAGAGGACCTTGTAAATCTGTGTCCATGGCTACTGCTGGACCTAGAACCTCTTTGTTTTTGTTTTCATTTTGCTTTTGTGAGGAAGATCAGCCCTGAGCTAACATCCATGCCAATCCTTTTTTTTTTTTTTTTTGAGGAAGACTGGCCCTGAGCTAATATCCATGCCGATCTTCCTCCACTTTATGTGGGACGTCACCACAGCATGGCCTGACAAGCAGTGCGTCGGTGCGCGCCTGGGATCCGAACCCGGGCCGCCAACAGCAGAGCGCGCGCACTTAACCACTACGCCACGGGGCCGGCCCCCCTAGAACCTCTTAATTGAGCACCTTCTTCCTTGCCCTAAACACTTGCAGGCCAGTCATGACTCTTATTTCCTCTTTCTTGCTACTTACCAGGCTCAGAGCTCAAGCTCTGAAGAAGAACCACAGCCAGGGTGCTGCAGTAGCTGAAGAAGGTGCCCAGGTAGTCAGTCTGCCTGCTGCCTGTTGGGGCCTGCCTGCCCAGGTTCTTCTGGAGGAGCTGAGTCTGGATATGCACAGGGTGGGCCTCTGCCTCCAGAGCTTTCTGGGCCACCTGCTCCACTAGGGAAGAGAGCGGAGTACTCCTGGGCTCTGAGAGGAGTTAGGAAAGGAGAAGGGATGCAGGGTTTAGTCTGTGCATCCAGCTTTGGGTCAATTTCAAACACCATATGTGAACTGGGCTTCTGTACACTCCACATGGGGCATCCTATAGCCTGGGTGTTACATTTACAAGGCAGCTATAAAATCACAAGTTGGTCTTCTGTACAAGTGATTCTCAGCCAGGTAGAGATTTGAGTCTGGAGAAATCAGGGTGGATAGTTCTGTTTTCACCCCAATGTCTCTGGGGTGGAATGGATTTACGAAGAGCATAGCAATCTTTTGGGGATGGGTTGATCAATATTTACTGAGTACCTTCTAGGTGCATTTCTCATCAAGAATGAGAAAAATGTATCAGGTAATGGAGTGTTAAGCATCCCGTCACTTGAGAGGCGAGGAAACAGGTGGAATTAGTTATGAAACATGCCCGGCTAACTAGAGGGCTGGTAGAGCCCAGTTCAGGAGTCTTAAGCCTCTGCTCCAAAGGGCTCCTTCGCTCTCAGCTGTTTCCTCTCCCCCGTTGAGCCCTCAACTGCTCCCAAGCAGTTGGGTCCACACCTGGCCGCTCCAGTGCTTCTCTCAGCGACTGAAGGACCTGATCCAGCTGCTGGGAGAGGGCGGTGTGGCTGGCAACACAGTCCTCAGTTAGGCTGGGCCAGCACATCTGGAGAAGCTCAGCAACACTGCACCGTGGAAAACCTCCTCCTTTTTCTTCTACACTCTCTATGGAAAGTAAATGAGAAAGAAAAAGTGAAGTCTGATGCTGACCTAGTGTTCCGAGTCCACGAGAAAAAAAAAAGGGAGAAAAGCAACTCACCTGATTTAGTTTGTCCAGTTGACATAAGTGAATAATTGAGAATCTTACTTATTTGCTGAAGAACAACCGGAAAACCTCGAATGCCATCAGCATTGAGGAGTACATGGTCTAGCCGTCGACCTGGGAACAGATGAAGGAAGAAGGAATGCAGAAAAAATAAGGTACTTTCAGAGTGATCTCAGTCCTCTAGTCAATTGTAAAGTTTTATCTTCTCCAATAGTAAGGAGAAAATAAAGGCCGTGCCATTTTGGGTGAAAACCAGCATACCTCGCTTATTCCATGCCTGAGGTTCGAGGGCTACCTCTGGCAAGATGCCTCAGCTGTCAACAGCAGCAGACCCAGAATTTCTGGCACTCCTATGGAACTGCTGTCCCAAGCCACTAAGGCACTTCTTGTGGATTTGCCTCGGTACTGCTCTCAGCCGAGAACTTGAGCTGGGATCCTATCTGTCTTCTCTAATTGCTTTGAGTGGTATCTGGACACCCTGACTACATTTTAAACAACTCTATGGACAGAGATTATTCCTTATATCCCTCCTATACCCCCATATACTTGGGATAATCTGGAAACACAGTAGGTACTAAATTAATTCCTAATTGATTGACATGAAACCATTTCAGCTATTAACAGCTTGGATAATATCTCCATTCATTTTAGAATGTAAGTACTAGATGAGCGGGAGGGAAATTGATAAAAACAGCATTGTGTATGCCACAGTATACTTTCTGAGAAGGACTATGTGAACATTAAAGGACTTTTATATCAACAGCTCAGAAGTGACTTGGAGGGGTGTGCGGAAATGAGTTAACATAGCAGGCCTGAGACTGCTATCCTTAGAAACGCCTGCTTGCAAGATTGGCCCTTGGCTGGTGTCTGCAAACTTGACTGGTCAATGGTTTCCTACACTGATATAAAACTTTCCCTAAATGATCAGAGTGGTACACTATGCCTAAACTGTTTGTAAAATGTGGTTTATGCTGAATACCTGCCTTCCAAGAGTCTGGAATTTTTGTTCGTGCTGGGCAGAGGGTGCCTTTGCCACCAGCCCCCAATAAAAACCTCGAACATTGGGTCTCTAATGAATGTCCCTGTAGACAACACTTGACACTTGTCACGATTCATTGCTGGAGGAATTAAGCCCATCCTGTGTGACTCCACTGGGAGAGGACTTGCAGAAGCTCATGCCTGGTTTCCTCCAGACTTCACCCCGTGAGCCTTTGCCCTTTGCTGATTTTGCTTTTAGACTTTTGCTGAAATAAACCTTAGCCATGAGTATGACTATATCCCTAGTCCTGTGAGTTCTCCTAGCGAATCACAGAACCTAGAGGTGGCCATTCGTATCATAACCTAGTCACTATTCCTCCCTCCATATTACTGAGAAAGAACACGCTTCTTTCTCCCTCACTGGTCAGTCCTTCCAACGTCTGGTATGTGTATCAAGGACGGGTGGGGAGTGGAACTTTGCCTAATTCTTCACATTCCTCTACCTTCATTCCTCCAAGAATTCCATATACACATTCTGGCATATTATTAACCTCAAGGTACAATTGTCCCTCCAACTGTGATCCCCTAAATTTTCCCTTAACCTAGTTTACAAACTTGAGACTGTCCCAGGTTTTAGGTTAAGTGGGGTTCACTCAGGAGAGGGCAGGCAGTCTAAAGGTACAAATTCCATTTATACCACTTTTGAATATACATTTCCCCCTTGAATTTATCAATAAACCAGAAAAGAATTTCCTCAAATGCTTGTTGACTGCTATATCTATTAAGAAGGCAAGACTCTCAACAGACTGTATTTATGCCATCAGATTGGACATGAGGAAACTAACTAATAATCCTTTCTCCCTGTCCCTCCTGCCCTAGTAAGGCCTTTCTTCTTGCACAATTTATTGAGTATTTCAGAACCCAGCTCCTCCTGTGAGAATTAAGGGCTGAAGCTAAAGCAGCCTACTCACCCCGGCTCTCAAGGCTGCTGTTCAGACGTCGCTCAGCAGTTTCCAAGAGCTGCTTGCAGGTTTTCCAGAGCTGGCACTGCGAGCAAGCTAGGTCAAATGCAGCCATGGCGGGGGGACTGAGGTCCTCCAGGACCTCTCTCAGGGGAGCGGTGGGCTCTGTCAGGGCACTGCTTATCCAAAAGTCCTCCTGGAGCGTGGGGATGGGGTCCCCAGAGGTGCTGAGCAGCTTGTCGGTCACGTCAGAGATGGAGTAAAATACCATCCCTGGACACCCAGCAGTGGAGTAAAAAGCAAGAGGTTAAAAGCATTCTAACTACCACTTATTATTATGAAAAGTAGTTATTTAAAAATGTTTGAGGTCCTTCTGCACAGGATATCGTCCATGCAGATTAGTAGCACCATTACAGCCCCAACGGTATGGAAAGGAAGGACAAGAGAAACTCATAATGGTTGAGCTGATGAGGGCTTCTTCCAAACAGGATCTAAAAGTAGGTAGGGAAAGAATGAGGTGGATCTGTGTGTGCTAATCGGAAAAGATCTCTAAAATACATTGCTAAAAAAGCAAGGTATAAAACAGTACTTGTTGTAAAAGCCCATTTATATTAAAAACAAAAAGGATGTACATGTATTCTTTGGAATAGCTACAGAAATATACCTGGGAGAATACAGAAGGAGCAACGTGTGAGGATACTTGATGTATAGAGCCCAGACCAGTAACCGATGTGAAAATGTGGGACAAGATCTCACTGTCAAGAAGTAGCGAGAGGTTGAGCTTTTTTGTAGTGTAACCGAGGTTGTGCATTGAGACCTGTGAATCCCAGGCATAGGTGTTTGCACAACATCTTCACTTTACAGAAAAGTAAAAGAATATGCTTTATCCCTGAATAATTACATGTGAAAGAAATAAACTCCAAATCATTTCCAAAAGCCCAAGATAGTGGCCATCAATACACATGGTAGAAAGAGCATTCACACTCTTCAGTTTAAGTCACACAGGACAAGCTTAATGGAGTAGCTCAGGTAAGCAGATATATGACCACTGTGGTCAGGGAAGTTGGGCACAACTAGAAACTGATTCTGAATGTCAGGATAGCTGTTCTTCCAGGCAAGTGTCCTGCTCTGGATTTCTGCTCACCTTCATGACGAGCCTACGATTTGGGTGGCTTTTCCCCTGATGCCCTCCCCCCCCAGCTACCTCACCACCTATGGTGGCAACAGGGAAGCCTGACCTGCAGCCGCAGCGCTGCCAATGGCCTGTAGAGTTGAGCGGCCACTGCCTGTTCTTCGAATGGTGCTGCTACCCCCATCTGAGTTCTGGTTTTCAATCTTGTGCTCTACTCGGGCCAGTTCCTGGATCACCTCCTGGTAGCGCTCCACAAACATCAGTTCCCCTGAGCTGGGCGAGGATTTGAGGTTGAACGTGAACACCACCTGTCACAGGAGAGGAAGGAGTATGGGTTGTGGCGGGCCTACTGAGTTGAGGGATGTCTAGAGATAAGAGATCTTGCTGAGCATTAGACCATGGCCCCCAGACACCTGCTTTGTAGGGTGGAAGAGCACTGAAAATTAGAAGAGAAGATCGAATACAGGAATAACCCATAGAAGCCAGCAGGAGCGCCACCAAAGCCCCAGCAGAAAGTAGGCAGAAGATGTGGGCAATTTCACAAAGACAATGCATACGAGTAATTCACATAAGAAAAATGTTTTCCCTCACCAGTAATCCAAGATTAACATCATTTTGCATCTAGCACAATGACAAAACATAAAAATAAACCCTCAGGGGTTGGTGGTAAAATGAACTGTCACAACCTTTTTTGAAAAGCAATTTGGCAAATCTATAAAGCTATAAAAATGTTTATATTCTTTGACTCAGTAATTTTTATGAGAACCGTAAGGAAATGATTCAAAAGGCTTAACGCCTAAAGGTGATAATCTTGCCACTATTTATTACAACTATTACAAGGTTGAAAATAATCTAAATGTTGATTATTAACAGGTGAATGGTCAAATGCAGCTACTTGATCAGATTATTGTAAAGTCACTAAAATCAGTTACAAGGCAAATGCTTATACTATAATGTAAAAAAGGCACATATAAAGTTTTAGATTCAAAATAATCTCAACTATATAAAAGTCATATATATCTTGGAAAAATATTGGCAAAAAATATACTTCATCTTTAATATTGGTTGTTCTGGACAATAGGATTAAAAGTAATTTTATTTTCTTGTTAATTTTTTTGGTATTTTCATATAATACACACAACTTATTCTGTAGCCACGTTTATAAAATAAAGCTTTTATTAAAAAAAAAAAAAAAAAGAAAAGAAAACATCAAAGCCCCAGGAAAGGAAGAGAAAGTGAAGACACTTTGGGGTCAAGCATCAGGCAGTTCACAGCTGACCTCTTCTGGATTTGGGTGTAAAAAAGGCTGGCGAGGGTCCTATCCTCCCCAGAGGGTCAGAATTATCACTATCATTAAAGTATGGTATCTAAAATGACCAGAGGAAGTTAAGCAAAGATTATCCCATCACCTAGATTTCTCCTTGATTTATTCCTCAATAACTGAACTCACATGAAAGGAAAATTCTGACCAACACAAGTGTCATAAATATACCTAGAGAGTTCTAAAAAATTAGAATAGTAGGCTTTTATGCTATTAAATTTAAGCAATAGAAGAGGATTCTTGTATTTCTCACAGCTTGTACATAATCCTTTTAACATTCCCATGAGGTAGGTCAATCAGGTATTATATTTAACTCCAATTTTCAAATGAGGACATCAAAGCTCAGAGAGGGTAAGAGTCTCTCTGATTTCTACTCAATGCACTTTTCCCTACACAACGTGAACATTCTAGTTTGCTAGCTCCATATACGTCTTATATATTGAACTGGCATTCTATTTATTATTAAAAATTGTCTGCGGGGCTGGCCCGGTGGCATAGTGGTTAAGTTCGTGCACTCTGCTTCAGTGACCCGGGGCTGGCAGCTTCGGATCCCAGGTGTGGACCTACGCATCACTTGTCAAGTCATGCTGTGGCGGCGTCCCACATAAAATAGAGGAGATGGGCGCAGATGTTAGCTCAGGGCCAATCTTCCTCAGCAGAAAGAAGAGGATTGGCAACAGATGTTAGCTCTGGGCTAATCTTTCTCACACACACACGAAACTGTCTGCATCATGACTTATAACTATATAAAAACACGTACGTGTTCAGAGAAGTACAAGGAGAGAAACAAAAATATTTCAATGTTTTGAAGTGGTGGGATTGTGGCTGAATATTTTATCTTGTTAAAACACTGTTTATGTTAAGAAAACAAACAGATGATTCAATAGCTTAAATATCCTCCAGGCTGGGTCTTGAAATCCACAATGCTGAAGACGGGGCTTGATACATTGAAACTCCCTCCTGCTCCTCCAGCTCGATGTGGCCCCTCAACAGCTCCCAAGTGGCTCTGCTTGCACACGCATCTAGCTTTACCCGAGGCCCAGTGGGCTCCAGCCAGCTGGGGCTGACTTAGCATTCTTTACCATGACAAGGTATGACCAAGGCTCCTAACACCCGCTGCACAGGTACTCTCCTCACCTGATGGGCTTCTGCAAAGTTCCCCCGGAGGATGCAGGATGCCAGCAGTGACTCAGGTGGGGAGAACATCATGGGGATAAGTGAACTTTGAGGTTGGGGCTGTAACCGGCCATCTGGCTCATTCCTCCCAGACACAGTGCTCAGACTTCCCTCTGTTGGGACACAAGAATGTGGGGTGGCCAAGAAAGCAATAGAAATTGAGAAAAAACTATACTGCTGTCACTTCCCACCAAACTCCTATCTCCTCAAAGTCCTTCCCTAAAATGTCTGTAAATGGGTCTTGATTTTTCCTCAAATGAAGGGAAACCTATGCTATCATCTTTGAATACAAGACTTTTGTACCAACTACCTTCCTTGGGTATTCACCTGTTTCTCTCTGCTGATGGGCAACTCAACTGACAGTGACACAGCCCTTTCCCTTTTCCCCACTGAAATCTCTCTGGTCGGCTGCCGAACCAACCTTCCTGAACACAAGCATGAACGGCTCAGTCCGGGTTTTTACACTATGGTGTACGGCAGCTCTCTATCAGGGCAAAACTGCTTGAAGTTGGCAACTGGTTGGGACCCCCATACCTGAAGTACTTGTGCTCACGTCACTATTTGTACTTTCCAGGGATGGATTGGAAGCTCTGTCTCGGCCATCTAGAGGTATTAAGAAGAAGAGAGAAAATCAACCATCAATGCCTCATAGTGTATAAAGTGAGAAGTTGGTTTGAAGGCCAAGATCTGGGTAGTTAGTGAGATGACAATGGGTACTGCTACATCTGCTGCTCCTTCAACAGCAAAACTGAAGTTCCTACAGACCAAAGGTGAGGGGTGTGCTTAGTATGGCCCCAGTGCTCATCTGGGTAGTAGCTTATACCAGTGATTTCCAACCTCTGGGTCTCAGAGCCCCAGGAGCTTTCAAGTTACTTCTAGGGGTCAGTGACCGCCATCTGCTCACTAAGTACTGTCAATATTCTGAAGAAATTAAAGCACAATTATTATGACCAGGAAGAACTGGGGTGCAAAGGAGGGTCACAAAATTTTCTGACATAGAAAAACGTGTCCCCATCCTTGAAAAGATGGGGAACTGAAGTATAAGACCTGGTCTGCCAAAGACCATGATATTTAAAGCCCCAGAGGAAAAGCTTCTCAACATCCACTCCCTGAAGTGCTAGGGCTTGCGATGGAGGCTCATTATTCCTTAGTCTGGTCATTCAAGGGCAATACTGGCCCCATGCAAGGGAGTCTCCTTGGCTCACTGTGTGGAAAGGAACAGACAGCCGTAGAAGAGAGGATGGATTGTGCATTCTCGGGCTCGATGGGTCAAGTGGATGCAAATGTGCTTTTTGACTCAAACCAATGAACTCAGCAGCTTAAGGGCCTTCGCAACTCAGCCTTGAAGTTCTCCAGGTCTCTCTCACGGTATCCTCCCCCCTGCCCAGTATGCTCACTTTTCTCATTGCCACTTAGCTACAGCTTACTCATTCTTCTGAGCTTGGTTCAAGAGTCAACTCTTCCATAAAACTGTTTCCCTGACTTTTGTCGGGTATGCTGATCTCTCCTTCTCAGAGATTTCTTCTGTTTCCAGGCAGTGCCTCAGAGCAGTTTAAGTTTTTCATGTATACTGTCTACACAGGCAAATCATAAATTCTTTGAAGGCAAGGTCCTGGTTTATGCCTCATTCACCTCCCTCAAGATACATAAGAAAATCTTAGGAATTCCCTGGTAATTATTTAAAAACGACACCAAAAGCCATAATGGAAATTTGATTATCTAAAAATTTAATGCTCCTGTATTAAACTCCTTTAGAAGAACTCACAACCAAAGTCAAATGACAAAATGGGGAAAAAATTGTAGCACATAAAGACAGAATATTTTCCTTAATGTATAAAGAGCTTCTTACAATTCAACAAAAAAGACAAACTCAACAGAAAATACAGACCTTAGACATGAATAGGCAGCTCACAGAAAAATATGTGGCCAATAAATATACGAAAAGACATTCAGTCTTAAACTAAAAGTTAACATTAAAACAATGATATACTATTACTGTATTAATCACGTTGGCAAAGATTTTTTAAAAATCTGATACTATTTGCTTTTGAAGAATGTATGTGCAAATAGGTACTCATATACAGTTGGTGGGAATGTAGATTGGTCTACTGTTTTTTTTAGGCAATTTGGTAATATCTATATTTTATATCTACATACTTTTGAAATTCTATTTTACTGCTAAGGACTTATCCTATAGATATACTCACACGAGTATGCACAGACGTATGAACAAGGCTATTTACTATAGCATTATTTATAATAGTAAAAAACTGGAAACAATTTAAATGTCCACAAAAGGATACATATGACAATGGAATACTAAGTAGCCTTTAAAATAGTAAGTCTTCAATATACAGTATGCTACAACTGTATGTATAAAAGGATATAAGTAAAAAAAGAAAGTTACAGTTCTCAATATATATAGTATATACAGTATGATGCACCTCTATATATAAAATCATATATACTTGGATTGCATGGAAAATTTCTGGAAGGAAACTATTAACAACGGTTACCTTGGGGGAGTGGGACTAGCATGATCTTAGATCACTTTTGTTTGTCTGTTTGGACCATGTACTTTATTTTAAAGAATATTAGACAAGTGGCCATATCCCACTTGCCTGGTGCATGGGAACGAGGCATGGGGAGAGCTCTTCAGATTACCTGCCTGGTTTCTTCTTGTCCGACGAACCCGGCGGAGACTGGGGTGCCGTGTGGCAACAGGCCGGTATCTTCGGGACGGCTGCTCCTCTGAAACAGCAAACCCAGCGGGTCATACGAGAGAGTGATCAATTTTGATTTGACCCACCTCCTGGGGTAACAGGTAGGGGAAGATTTGCACTGGGCTCTGAGACATGGGTGTGACACTGGTTGCTATGGTGATACGCCCTGAGTTATGGTGTGACTCCCATGCACTCCTCGCTCTCCCATATTCCTGGGCTTTTTCTCCCTCCCCACATTCTGGACCCACCAGTTCTGCTATCTCCTCTCACCTGAGCACTGGTTGCTTGTTACCACCTTGTATCTCCACTGGGCCTCAGAGAGAACTTTGGAAAACCGGTGTAGGCGGCTCTGCAGTCCATCTCTGCTTCCCGAGCAGCTCTGGGCTTCTAGCAGCTTTGGGTTTTCAGGGAGGCTGCGGCTGCTGAGCTCATCCAGTTGCTCCTGGAGAAGCCTGAGGAAGGCCCCTATTGCAAATTCATCAGCCAGGAACCCACTGATACCACTAGTAAAGTGCTTTAGGTCCAAAAAGCTGTGCCCTTGAGGCCCTGGGAAACTATCTTTTGGCTCTGTCTTCAGACAGCTTGGAATGGTATGAGCAAGGCTCCTGGGGACTCCCAAGGAACCCCGTTCTGACTTCCTCTCACGCTGTGCTATGTGCTGAGGGCTCTCTGATGGGGACTCCAAATCCAATGGGCCCTTCCCCTCAAAGTCATCATCCTCAGCATAGTCCTCAGGCAGGTGAGGCTCTGGGTGAAGATCGGCAGAGGTGATAAGGAGCAATGAGAAGATGTTTTCTAGAAGTTCCAGGCACAAAGAGTCAGGAATACTGCACAGATACTGTTGACACCTGGCCAGGTATGTTGAGAAGAGATGTGAAGCACCTAAATAAGCATGCGTAAGAGAAGAGGCCAGAGAAAGAGAAGAAAAGAGAGAAAATGCAAATATTAGAAACAATACTTGCCAGACTCAAACATTCTCACAACTTTAACTAATTATTTTTTTAATGACTAAGGGAATTGTGGTTATAGTCAGAAGAATAAGAGACTATTCGGCCATGTCTTTTCACGATTTGCAGAAAGATTGTGCTACTTTAACTAAAAGGACAGCTTACTGAACACATTATTTTGTTTTTGTTTTCTTAACATTACATTATTCCTCATCTCTGAGAAGCACTCCATATTTTAGCTCTTAGAATGAAGGCAGCATGGAGACTCTATACTCCTCAATTCTATTTTCACTCATTGTTACACTAAAGGTGATCACAGGCTACCTGGACCTCTTCAGAAATACTCACTGGTCAAAAAATGACCATGCTCAGAGGTGAAGGTCTATTCCAAAGCTACAAGGGAGAGAGAACTGACCACTAGTCACAGAAGGCAAGTTAAGGAATTATAAGTTTATTAAAAACGAGAGGTTAGGACATTAGGTTGGTATCTTTCACACTGTAGGCTGTGAAATTGACTTAGACTTAAAAAAATGAAATAGAACAGAAACATAATCAAGGGTGTGCTCCTTTGGAAAGGTAAGTATAGTTTCTTAAAACATTTTGCTTTATATATCACTTATATACACATATACACATACATATATAAACACACAAATTATATACCTAGGTGCAAACTGGAGTGAGATGTGAAATGCTATTTTTATTGTGGATTGTAGTCAAAAAAAAGCATTTGGAAAACACTGTACTAGGTGATCAGACTCCATTAGAACTTAGGCAAATCACTGGCTTTCTCCATGTCCTTTTGATTCATGGAGGCTGATAAATGGATGAAATTATTCCTGGGCATAACACAACCAAGGCCACTACTCCCGATCCTGGTGGAAAAGGGCTCTCACACAAAGAACTTACTGGGACAGGTTGCTACCAGCTTCTGCCAAGGATGAGAGGGAAGCGATGTACCTGGGGAGGAGAGAGAGTCATTCGCTGGCTCCGCAGCTGAGGCCAGGTCCTCAGAGGAACTGTCTTTGCATTCCTGGCACTGGGAGTGCTGGTGTGAGCTCACACAGAGGGCATAGATGGCATACTTCATGGCACAGAAGCTCTGGTAGAGTGTCAGGTTCTGACACTGGCTCAGGTGCTCAGGGGTCAGGGCATCTGCAGAATCTGAATTATAGAGAGAAACAGGCAGAACTTCAGAGCTGGTTCTTTCAGGCATGGGCTGCAACTACGGCTGAAGCAAAGAGCTGGCGTACTTCTAGGTCCCCTAAGTGTCCCTAAGTGTTCTCACCCTTTCTCCTTCCTGTCAATTTGATCACCGTCCCTTCCAGGACTTTTCCTCTGGTCAATATCAACTTTCAGTCCCTTCCATTTAGTTTTTCCCCACCAGCCTCCCTTCTCCATGTCTGTTCGACATAGCCCTTATGGCTATTTAATAGGTCTTTTCCTTCTATATCTTAAAATAGTTGTTTTTCCTTTTTAAAAAAATTAAAACAAAGTAAATGTTTAGTCTACCTAGTACCACATTATCCAAAAGGCAGGCTTAAAATGTGTTTAGACTGAGTAATGAGAGCACAGGCAACAACAACAACAACAAAACAATTTGATATTTTTAAGAAAGCACTGAAGTAGACATCATGGGGAAAAATCACAAACTGCTGAAATTGCTTGTACTTGTTCAATAATCTATGATTTCTCATTTAAAAACTTTTTGAACTTTAGGAGGAAAGGAGGGCACCATAATCTTTACAGGGTCTCTAAACATCTAAATTTGGCCCTAATTCTTTTCATAGCAAAACCACAACCTGCTCAAAAAAAAAACCACTAAATGTAGTAAAGCAAAAAGAAGAAAAAGAAAAATCACCCATGAGCCTCCCAGCAAAACACAATCACTGTAATATTCTGGTTTAACCCTTTTCATAGTTTTGCATGTGTGTGTGTATGTTTAAGCGACATGTAATAACATTCTATATACTACTGCATTTTCCTACTTCTTAGAGATCCATTAAGTACAAGCATTTGATTATGCTTCTTCATAAACTAAATTTCTGATGGCTACATATAGTCCCACTGAATGAATCCCTTACCTAGGCAAATTCCTCTAGGGCAGGGCAGGGCAGGGCATTGCAATAGTTAGGGATGCTTTGCTAGTATGATGTTGCAATAAGCCCCTTCATGTATAGGCTCCCTAGTGATTACTTCTAGGAAGCTCAGCCTTGCCAAGGTGAGGGTAATAAGCAAATGAAGAGCAATATTGCTCTAGGCTCCTGGCCTCTACACGGCATTACCGCCCAGGGCCAGGACCTGCAAGCACTTGCGTGACCCTGAGAGCGAGTGGCTCCTTCAATTTTGTACCCTAGATGCTTCTCTTGCCTCACCCTAGTCCCCGCCCTATTACTGCTCCTCTTTGCCTTTTCCACGTTCAAATTCTAAGTGTGGGGCCGGCCCCGTGGCTTAGCGGTTAAGTGCGCGCGCTCCACTACTGGCGGCCCGGGTTCGGATCCCGGGCGTGCACCGACGCACCGCTCGTCTGGCCATGCTGAGGCCGCGTCCCACATACAGCAACTAGAAGGATGTGCCACTATGACACACAACTATCTACTGGGGCTTTGGGGGAAAAATAAATAAATAAAATTATTAAAAAAAAAAATTCTAAGTGTGTCAAAATGTAGACTTAAAACCATAATGACAACAAAGAAAAGACAGACCTTCCCTCCCCAAATGGGCTAAAGTCTGAAACTCCTTTAGGAAATCTGCTAAACAAGTTGCCTACCTCTCCAGAAAAAAAAAATAGAATGTAG